TATAGAAATATAATGTCTGGTCATCTTTAAAATACCGTTCATCTTAAAGTGGATGCAGCAAAAACGAGTTGAAATTCAATTCGATGAAATGATGAAAATAACTGCAAAGACAATAAGAATATACTGCACGAGAACAAACGAATTCTAGGATTAATGAAGTTGAAGAAGTGCTGCCCCAATCTTTATTCGCGGCGAAAGGGCAGGGTCAGCGGGGTGCGGTGTGGGTGTGAGCAGATGGCTCGATAGGGTAGCAGCCGTGGTGGGGGCACAGGGGGCCTGGGCTCGAACCGGGACCCCGGCTTAGGCAGCGCCCGGCATGTCTCTCGCAAAAGTTTTGACGTAATAGGTTTGAAACTCGTTACACAAAGATCACAGTAATCATATTCCTTTCTGAAAGTCGACTGCCCAGTGCAATTGCGGTGAGATATACATTTCAGAGAACCGAAAAATATGATTGCTCCATGAGTCTAGTGACCAACAAATTTATAAAACAAATCATATTTCATGTATTCAAGTGTAACCTATATTACACTATTGTGTAATAACATGCTGTGCAAATCGCTCGAAGTATTAGTATTTAGGTTAGGCAAATTTTTATTTAACCAGACACTCATTTCGTCACTCATGGAAAGTATTAATTTTATTTACAATGTATTCAATATATTTTCAATATCGTGGATAGAATCTACAAGCACTTATTGATCTGTGGTATGTAGCTTAATGTAACCGCATGGTAATGAGTTTAGTAATTACTGCTATATAGCTTCACACACCGTAGGCAAGTTTCATATCTGAGACGACTTCTCATCAAGGTGTTCAATGAAATTTGAACCACCTCGGCCAATTAGAGCCAATTCCAGTGCATGCGAAGTATGGTTCGGTTGGAGTGAAAGGCGTGAGATGACAGTAGCGGTGACGCGCAGCTGCGCTTGGCAGCGAGTCGCGTACGCGGTCCAGGGCGGATGCGGCCGTCCGCTCAACGCACCTGCAAGCAGCAGCAGCAGCGACGCCCGGCGCAGGAGGACCATGGTTGCGGAGAGTCGCTGGTTCGCTCTCCGGTGCGGGCGGGCGGGCGAGCGGGCGGGCGGGCGGCGGCCGGCGCTGAGTGGCGTTGAGCGGCGCGGCGCGGCGAGCGGGCTGCCGGGCGAGCGAGGCGCAGGGTCGACAGCAAAGCACGCTCTGCTGCTGCCGTCGCCTCCGCCGCCGCCGCAGCTTCCTCCGCCCCGCCGCCCCAGCTGGCGAGCGCGATCAATACCGCCACAGCGGCGCCGCCTCCGCCTCCGCCCGCCACCAGCCGCGCCCCCGCGCCGCGCTGCCCTCGCGCTGCTCGCCAGCGGCGCGGTCGGCCACTTCGCGAACCTGCCCACGCCGCTCCTTGCCCCACGGAGAGCTCAACGCTGCGGATTCCTTCGCTCCTTCCGCGGTTGCCCTTTGGCTTGTTCTATGTTGGACACGATGGCCGGTTATTAGAGCTTCCGGGGGCATCAACTGCTAAGGTCTTTAGTCCCGTACGTGTAGTGCATTTTTCTCTCTCTCGGGAGTTGGTGATGATGGGTCCCTGCGAGATCCGGCGCGGACCTAACGACGGCTTAATGGCGAGATCCGGCGCCGACCTAACGATGGCTAGCGGTTTTCCCTCCCATCAGCAGGGAACCAAGGTATCTCCCATCAGCAGGGAACTGCCCCAGTCGAGACAAGCTCTAAGCTCTCGAACGGTTTCTCGGCATGTGTGGGTCCCGAGAGTTGCATAATTCGAGGCCATGGGGCAAATTTTGGTGACAGTACTGCCCAAAAAAAAATCAGAACCCATTTTCCTAGAGCACGGAACAAAAATTGACAAACCGACATACAGAAAACTAATAGCAAATAAACTAGTGGTGCTATAGAATGACACCGATTTTCTCTAAAAATTACTTTCCTTTTCTCTTCGTGAGTCTTAAAGACTACCAACGCCTCTCGTGGTTCCTACCGCCCCTTTGGTGGGTGGTAAAGAACACCTTCCTACACAGTGAACTTCGCATTGACCTATCTCGGTATATTTGCCCATGGTATTACACCCACTCAGAACAATGGTACTTGGTACAATGGTTCTAGGTGGGGAATGCAGTTCTTCAATTTAACTCACGGATTGCAAACAGTTGCCTGCCAGGCCAAGAAATTATGAAAGAATTTTATTATAACTTTAATACGCGAGGAATTCAGAAAAACCCCGCGCCTAAAACACAACTATAAATATTCGTGTGCCCATGGGTTTTGAACCCGTGGGTTCGTTAGTCTCCACATACTTTGGCTCCATACCCCAAGTACCTATTACTAATGTCAAGTGGTAGAAAAAATGGAAAAGTTTTAGTGTCTTTTTAAAATGTATTTCCTATATGAGGAGCGTTCAAGCAAAAATAAACTTGTCCATTGGAGAGGGGGATGAGTTAGCATTGTAGTAATACAAATGACTGTCAGCTGCATCTTCTGTTCTGAGGTGGAGGACCAAAATTAAATATGACCCTAATAATTTTACTTGTAAACACATGAGGTTCAATGTGTCCACAACGTTGCTCCAAGCAATAAAGAACATGACCATGTAATCAATTAGATGCCAAGATTCACGATCACGTGACTGCTCTTGCCACGTGGTTCATCTGTTAAGTCTTCACGACAGCATCAGAGTTTATTTATTTGAAGATCGGGACCTCGAGTTCACAAAAACTTTGAGTAATACGTGCAATAACGTACAGAACATCAGAAATGTGAAGCGAATCATTATTAAGAAAACAATGATAGGGAAGAAGATTTGAACAAAATTATCACACAGCAATATTTTAAAATTGATGAAGTTCCTACTTTGACCCTTTCGAAATGTGGTTTTTCATTAACAAATCTTGTACAATATAACCTTCTGCAGGTGCCACTGAACTGTTAGGAGATAAATGGAGAGAATTCTTCAGATACTCCTGGCCTGAACTGGTATTCCTTTGTTCTTGACGGACCAATAGCTGAAAAAGAAACTGTAACGGATAGCCTAGAACTGAAAGATAATAGTGATTGTTTGGAAGATGCCAGTTTCTGGCACATACAAGTTTTAAATTATTTTTAGTTCTTTGTAATTTCTTTAGAGGCCAACAAATGGTTACATTAGCTACAGAAATTGTTCTAGTAGTTTTGTCTGTTTAGAAAAATAAAATATTTTTAACAAACTACAGTAAAATAATTTATCCTAACCAAATGTGTTGAAAATAGTATCCCTACTTTTAACAAACGCAAACATGTCCAAATTTTGCTAGCAAATGCAAACCTGTCCAAGTCTGAACCTGAAATATTATCCTAATTATAAAGAATTCAATTTGGTAGAAGTATACGTAGACTATTACAATAATACTGATAAGCAATACAGCATGTTATATTGTCTGAAAAGACGATAACCTATCAAAATCAGTTTATCTCCTGATGTTTCTAAAAATCCTATTTGAAGGACATGCTACATCGAGCTATGAATAAACCTAGCTCCATGTGACGATATTCGATAAACTATGAACGCCCCTCATATGGTTTTGGATCGCTGAACACGAACCGTTTGTAGATAAAAATTTAGCTCGTAAACACGTTTTTAAGCAACAAATGTATAAATATTATGACTTTTGCGGGCAAGCAGGCGGGCAAGCGAATCGGGCGGGCAAGCGGGCGGATGTAGACCTAGTAGCTAAACAAATAGATTATAACTAAAGAGCAGATTCCTGCGCAACTACATATTTTCTTTGCTGTTGTAATTGATAAACGAATTTCTCAGAAAATAATGTGGAAATATACATACTAATTGTAAATTATAATTTCAAAAATTAAGAACATTTCTTCAGCAATATTTTTTTTATTTCTGAAAGTATTTTTGTATTTTTCAATTTTTGTACTTATTTTTGTGCTATTTTTTTGGATATACTATTTTTCCCTTTAATACAATTTTGTGTGCGAATAATATTTAAAATGTCAAATACGGTTTGTTTAAACAATATGTACGCAATTATCACAATCCACTAAAATAATATTTCATTCACCTTAAATATCTCATTAAAAATATAAAGTAAGTTGATTAACTGAAGTTTTTAGGTTTTCAAACTTCGTTTTGCAAAGTTTTTATCTTTTTATTGCATTTTATGTACGTTTTGGTGATTTTAGTACACATTTTAGAGAGTTGTACTGCACAAAAATCCGGAATTTAGTTATAACATAATAACAATATTACAGTTATAACATTTCTATCATTGAAACGATACTGGTCTGGACTCGACAGCCTGATGCGGGCCTTGGCCGACCAGCGGTGACCCAGCTTCTCGGCGGTGGGATAAGGGGTTCGTGTCATTAGCACAAAGACATTCCATCTCCGTATATACTGGTCATTTTAACCTCAGGGTGGGCTTCCTCATCGTCACAGGCAATAGTTACTGAGACGTTTTTAAGGAAATCGCACAGTTATAATTTGCCACAGCTGTGAATCAAAGCCAAGACTAGATAATTGTAATATTCAAACACACCATTAATTTGTCATAAATAAATAGGAGTTGCGTAAAAAAATTCAGAACTACCAATTGATGCAAACCAGCCTCGGACTCTCCTACTGGGCGACTTCTTCTTTTAAACACATTTTCTTCATACCCCAAAGGATTCTTTCCTGAAGCATAGCACCTTTCGTTGCGAAAGCATTAAGTTGCGAGACGGCACTGTTAACGATCATTTTTATATTAAATCGGTACGGTGTTAATATCAGTGACAATTTACCTCAGAACAATTAACTATTTCTGATCAATTTCACAATTCATAATTAAAGTTGAAAATATATTTTTACACCGAATAACTATATAAAAGGGGAAGCTGAGCTTTCAGTTCATGAGTTTGATCTGAAGTAAAGATGTGAGTAAATATGGAACATTCATGCTAAAAGTTAAAACACAGTAGAAAGCTAATAGTTAAACAAATTTTGCATAATAAAACAAATAAATAAAACTCAGAATATGATAATTTCGTATTTTATTATACAATAAATACATTTTATTGCTGCTGAATCTACTTACAAAATACATTATAAATACCACAATTCATGTTCATAAATACGTAACTTTACTCTTTTGTGATTTATGTCCATTGTTTAATTATTTTGACACGATTTATTTAATAGTCTCTATTGGAAACGATAGTGGGGGAAAATTCACAAATATCAATCGAATAAAAAAAAGAACATGAAACTATATAATATTTTAGTCAAATGAAAATCTAAACACTTTCTTAAGACATTTATCAAATTAGGGGGGGAAATTTAATTAATGAATTTCAGTGACATTACAAGTAACCTTCACCTCAGTATACAATACGAAATGTTCAAACTAATGTGGACTTTCAAACTGCTATTCTCTGTCTTAAAATGCAACCAATTCAGAAAAAATAATACTTGCATTGCAAGAGATCGGCACTTTGTTTTGTAAAATCACAATATTTATCTGGAATGAAAAAAGAATTTACTGTATATTCAATGTTGCAATACAATAATAGTTTCAAATACACAACTGCTCACCTATAGCCAGTTGCAAGATTTCAAAAATACGTAAAAATCTTTCTGCATTTTTCTACATAAATTCTTTTTTACAGCCAAGATTTTCAAATGGCATTGGTTAAAAAGCCAACTAGAATAATAAGAGAGAAACTGAAAGAACCAAAAACAATACACTTGATTTCATATTCCTCTTTTAGAATACTCATTGTCCAACAGACATAGTAAATAAAGTATACATACCAAAATGGTGTTAACAGTTCTCTATAATTCTCATACTTGTGCTTGTTTTTCAAAAGTGCTCCCACATTACTGAATTCTGCGATGATGATTCGAAAGTCAAACGAGACTGTGCAGGTGCAGTTTAAAGTAACATTCATTACATAAACACATGCCTTTGTTGCTATATTTAATACTTTTTTGATTGTTGTAGAGCTTGATAATAACCTGGAAGGAAATTCATAGATTTATCATTTTTAATTTAAAAAATTAGAAACATAAATGATATGAAATATCATACGTTACCTGTGTAAAAACCACTTGTGTACCATGACCAAAGCATGGCTGAGAGAGCATCGTTGTTATCTAATTTGATACCGGAGAAAAACATTTTTTTCGGAGGATAGTATGACATTTTGACAATATTAGGTAATGACTGAAAAATAACAAATAGATATGAAGGAAAGTGTAATAACAAATACGTATTTTACTCACATAACTTTGAATAGAATAACCGATACGTGATTACTGTGAAATATTTTAAATTCTTATTCTTACCTTTTGGTACACATACGGCGGCAATGATGCTACAGGTGCAGCAGTAGTAGACATTAATCCTGATGGATTTGTTGTGGGTAACTCTTCATGATGTGTGGTCTGATCTAAGAGCACAGGAGCCTTTGTAGAGCCACTGAATGGCACTGCACTGGAACTTGGAGGATGAGAATTCAGGCTAGAGGCCGAGGAAGCAGTGGAACCAGTGAATCCATTTCTTGAAGTCGTTCTGAGAGGTTGGTCGGTAGAAACATTTGGACGCTCTGAAGGATGAGGAGGAATAGATGTAGCCAATGAAAGATTGGTCGCTGCTTTTGTGATTCCGGCTTCCGACGAATCAGAAGAGAGAGTAGAGCTCTCATACGATGAGCTAGAAATGTGAGTGGGGCAATAACCTGCAAATGTCAATCAACAAAATTTATAATAAAATATATCAATGTTTACAGAATGTATAGCAATTACAAAATGCAACTGTACAGAAGATAGAAATGTATTGTTTGTATAAATATTGCAAAATGCTAAAAGAATTATTCTTTGTTTCTCGAGCCATGTTAAATCTTTCCCTGTTCCAAATTGTTTTATTCGCCAAACTCTTAAAAGCGAGTAGACTAGATAGGAGTAAGCAAACTCCAAACATCGCTCGAAACATTACCTCATGCATTAATTTAATTCACTTTTGTTAATCTCGTTTAATCTATGGATTGGATAACGCGTTCAGTGTCCCAGAGACCACCAAAGATATCTCCAGCTGAATTTCTATTATAATAGTAATAATAGTAATAATAGTAATAATAGTAATAATAGTAATAATAGTAATAATAGTAATAATAACAATGTAGCTCTACTAGTTTATGGTTATTTCACTGAACATATCCTCTTTCTTCACAGCATCAAACTACTACATATCCTTTAACAACGACTTCTAACAGTTTCGACAGCGCCAAGAAAGCGCATACTACTAATATCTTCCTTTCGCGACACGGCTGATGCGCTCCTGGCATGCCACTGCACAGCAAGGCTACAGGGTCAATCCACGAAGACGTCTAGAGGTCCCCGTGCGACCCTCACGGAGTCGATAATAAAATTTTATATTACGAGTTTCACTTGTTACGAAGTAATTTTTGTTTAAGTTGTAGCTTCATATGCGAAACAGTGTTTTCGATAGAGCTGTTTGTTTGACTCCATGCAGCGTCGACTTCAAAATCTTCGCAACTTTGTGATACCCTATTTTGTTCCTCAGTTTTTACTAAACAAGTGAAGGTAATAAAATGATTATATATGTCGTCATTGCCAACAACATTATTTATTAAAAGAGCAGCTTTCGATGGTTTAGCCATCATCATCAGTTTTCTGCTGTTCGGAAACCACAAAAACGATTAGGCGTAGATGTACAGAAAGGTAGTCCTTTTTGTGGCTTCCGTACAGCAGAAAACTGATGATGATGGCTAAGCCATCGAAAGCTGCTCTTTTAATAAATAATATTGTTGGCAATGACGACGCATATAATTATTTCATTAGAAATGCCAACGACAACTCACAACACCTATAAGTGAAGGTAAACCTGTCTGTAAATCTTTTTAGCTCTGTTCAATGAAACTAATATCAATTTGCCATTTATTAACACAGAATGAAGCAAAACAAAGCCGCAGAAAAACATTCAAAAATAGAGCCAGACTTAAACAATGAATAGCTTCTTTAATAACTTAGTACGAAAAGTGAAACTTACTCAAAACATTACATTGTCAGCATTACATTGTTCTGCTTGTATAATTATAAGGCTTCAAAAATATTCCCTCTTTATTATATCTTTCCCAAAACAGTAATTATTTTCCAAATATGTCTCGTAAATAGAGAACGTAGGTTTCTACGGTCAGTTCGACAAACGTTCAGCATTCAGATTATTCAATACTTTACATACATACAACGTCTCTCTAAAAAAATACGTCTTTAATTTTTGAAACTGTTAAAAAAAACTGATCGTCGAGAAAAGTATTTCACTCGTATATTTTATAAGAGCTTCAGGTAAAGTAACCCCTAAAATGAAAAGATGTGCATTCAACACCTAGTACAGCATAGAACACCTAGATCGATTAGAAAATATTATTTGTTCTGAAAAAAAGAGTACGGTTTAGGTGCTACTATTGTTCACTTCTAAATAGTTTTTACAGTTCGAAACCTTTCGTAAAGAGGAATACGCCCTACCCGGGTATGCTATTTTCATAGATGGTATTCATCTCCATATATGTGAAGAAGTCGTGAGACTACCCTCTGGCGGATCTAGGGGGGAAATGCTCCCCTAAGCCACGAAAATTAATTACGTTATTTTACTCAATTTTTTCAAAATCTTATCAAGTACTACAGATATATTCAAAACATTATTCCCATTGTGAACATACTCGTAGATTTCTTTTTATTTCAAGCTAACAATTAAACAAATTAAATATGTTGATAGGGCGTCCGGACTAATGTTGCCTCTTCCCCCCACAAAAATTCTAGATCTACATCTTTGACTACCCGCTTAATCTGTTCAGTGGCCGACCCACAGGCCATTCATCCCGCACGTCGTCGCTTCGACACGGCCTCAGCCACCAAAGACCCTACCCCCCTCCCCCGCCCCCTCGCAGAACTTGCAATGCACAGAACCAGTACCTTGGCCCAGAACCGTTGCCATCTTGCAGCCGTTTCAAAATTGCCTTTTTTCTTTTGAATAAATTATTAGTATTTAGGGATAAAATATTTGAGTGAAGTAGTTTCTGCACGCTTGTGATCCACGATATTCAATATAAGACCATTTCTTGGTCAGTCTGGTCGGTCGATTGTTCTCAAGAAGTGTACAAAAAAATCCTGCTTCTATTATATTATATATTTTCCTGAAGATTCAAGTAAGAAAATAGAAACTTAGCACAAAATAATTCAATGTAACATTGTTTTTAAATGCAAAATTTCGATCTTTTAGCTCCGACTATTACTGTAAAAATTAAGTGTATGTTGATTTTGCAAAAGATCCCAAAATGGAGTATTTTTCAATGCTCGTTTATAGAAAAGTTATGTTTTAAACCATTTCATAAAATATCTCAATAGAAAGAGCAAACTTTTAAGGCTTTAGAATAGTGGTTTTATTTGCCAACACTGGAATACAATACCTGAAGTTTGAGACAGTCGAGGAGATAAATATCGGCGAAGTAAATATTGTATCGAAAGTAAAAGTTGTGTACGTCTATAATGATGATGTTCTTACGTCTTGTGTTTTGTTTATTTGGTGTACTTAGTTACTTGATGAAGAAAACATGTTTCTTTTGAGTTTAGTAACTTAAGTTTCTAAAGGGTTCTTTTCATTACAATAATCGTTTTGTAGAGCGACGGTACATGGGTTCAAACAAACGATATTCAACGTATCTCAAAAACTACTTCACCTACAACACAACTTCCCAAACAACACACCTAGGCTCACAAAAAAACATTGAAATATTAGATGGCCGTATGGAGTACTTCTTCAATATTAAACCATTTGACATTGAATGTTCTTGCTACAACTTTTAGACATTATTGACAGTGTTTCGATTCAGAGTGGCCCAAACGCTCGAATTGGGACTAGACTTCCCGCGGTAGCCCGCTTCCATTCGCCTTTCACTAGACTGGAACCGATTGCGCCCGAGCGCCTCTCCTCCCGAACGGGCTAACTCGGTAAGAAGCAGGGTATACCGGTGGCACATATGTAAGCACTGGACCAGGGCAAGTCGAGCCTACTTGAGCAGCCCTGTTCTATACTCGGTACTCGGATTTAGAGTGGTAATTGAAGGTCACGATCTGGGCAGTGAAGGGGACACTGTATACCAATCGAAAGCTAAGTTACTATTTTTTTTTTTAAATTGGAGCTCCCAGTTGGATGACATGGTCCCCCTCTCCTTCCAGCTGGAGACCTTGAAGTGCCACTGTGTTTAAATCGGAGCAAGGTGGCGTCGAGTGTAGGTGACACGTGGAACTGACCGGGGCCGAACTCAGGCTTGGCGAGGAAGGGCTGCAGGCGGAAGCGGCGCAGGCGCAGCATGGCGCTGTCGGAGCCCGTGACGCCCAGGTCCAGCTCCTCCTCGGAGGCGCAGTGGTACGCCTCGCCCAGGGGCGCCGAAAACAGCAGCACTTCGCTCGAGCTCTTGGTCGTCGCCGTTATCACACCTGCCAACACATCAAGGACCCGGCTTCAGAACATACTCAAAGGGGTGACATTAGAATTAAACATAATAAATAAAAATAATTTAGTTGTGATAATAACTATTTAATTTACTTTTCGCTGGCAATTTTCCTTTCCCGCCCATTCTTCGAAAGACGAGGAAATGTTGTAATCGTGAAGTGGAAATCAGCGAATTTTCGTCAGAAAAACTCTTATTGCCGAGGTCTGGTAACGAAAAAGTGGAGGAATATTCTTCCTATATAGATCAAATTACTTTCTCTAACACTTTGCGTAGTCAGAATCAATGCTTTGCGAGTTCTTGAAACCGAAAATTCAATTGACGGCAAAACTTCCGTCCTTCCGTGCCCCAGCACTTAAACCGTTCAGCAGATTTTCTCCGAAATTAATATTTCTCCATCAATTTAAAGCAACTCAGGCCCTGCGAGTTTGAAATACTAGATTTTTTTAATTTTTCAGGGTACTTATAAAAAAGTCTTCAAATTTTAGGATTAAAATTTATCCTCGGTTACTTTAAAATACTTTTAAATTTTAAGAGTATTTTGAATTATTTGAGGGTAAATTTTAATCCTAAAATTTTAAGCCATTTTTGAGAAAAGTTTGAAAATGACATTAAGAATGGCGTAGGTCTCATTTTCGTTCAAATCCCTAATTTTTCCAAAATATTACATTTATTTGGTACCTTCCTACTACTACAGTAATGAAGAGAGATAATTTTCCTTTAATTTCCCTAATAACACCTGTTCTTTAAAAATAGAGCTTCAATTACAAATACTACAATGGTTGTCATTGCAATCATTACAAAAGTTCAATACAATTTTTTCGTAAATATGGGTCGTTTTCGCGTAATTTTGTGTGTAATATACGCAATTTTTAAACAACTATTTTCTCAAAGACGCCCCAATTTGTTTCTATAATTTTTTCTCGTGCGAATCAAAGGTCTGTAAAAGATATGTTGCTAGTCACATTTCCTGCGCCCTCGATGACTCATTGGTTAGCGTGCTCACTTACCACGGCGCAACCTCGAGTTCGATTTCTGGCTGAGGCAAAATAATAACTGTGCCCTTTCCTTACAAATGTCCTAGTATCTATTACTGTGTAACGATGCCCACTCAAAGGTTATGAAGACTACAAGATACGGTGAAGGGATGTCTTTATGCTAACCACACGAATCCCTTATTCAATGCCCGAGAGTCTGGGTCACCGCTGATCGGCAAAGGCTTTTAGTGGGCAGTCCAGTCATAGGACAGCACAGTCTCATTTCCGGCGAACTCTCAACATTTTCGGAAATCGAAACCAATAAGCATTTCAAAATTACAAAATTTGAAGACTTTTTTTGTCTTAAAATGTTATAAGAAACCCATTCTTTTAAAAAAAAGTCATATGCATTTTTTTAAACAAGTACCTAACCAGAAAACATTTTCTTAAAAACAGATCTATTTTTTTCTTTAAATTGTATCCACGAATAGAACAAGGAACGCTTAAAAGAATGGCGCAGGTTTCATTTTCGTACAACTCTCTCAATGTTCGAAAATTGCAACAGTTAGAATGAATGTGAGAAAATATGCGTTGTTGTATCACCAACAGTGTGTGTTTTAATTTATAAACTATTTAAAAATAAAACATCCAAAATGTATTTGTATTTTATAGATAGTTTGTATAGGTTACTACTAGGAAAAAATTGAATTAAAACTCAAATACTGTCTTTAAATTTTTTAAATTCATTGTCAATATTATTAAATAAGTTAACATATAAAATATAATTTTGAAGCAAACATTTATTTAAAATATTCCTCATAATGCCTATTTTCGAAAGAAGCATGGCCTCTCCCTGCAGTGGCTTATTCAAGCCACAATGGCCAGAGGCGGACATTCGAAGCGCACAAAATGTAACTTGTGCAAAAATACGCGTGCACTTAAAAAAATGCTCCAAGATAGTACCTGATGTGGAATTATTCTGATGGTCCAAGTCAGATTTGTCATACTGAAGTTCAACCTGCTTCACGAACCATTTCTTCCAGTCTCGGGTCTGAAATAGAATTGTTAGTATATACTTTAGTAAGCTAACGCAGTGGATTAAACGAAGTTCTAATGAAAATGAATGAAAACCCGCTCACAAAAATAATAAATTAGTTGTTATAATAACAATTATTATTACTCGTGTTATGTAAATACTTATTTAAAAAGTAGAATATATTTATATTGTATAATTAGTTGTAACTATGTTTCTGAAACTACATTTCTTTGTTTCGTGTACAAACAGTAAATTGATTTTTCAACTTATTTTTACAATACCTTATTTTTGTTATCTATGAAATCTTTACCACATCAGTTAAATTATGAATGAAAAGATAGTCACAACATTGTTGACCACTTATGGTATCAAACTTGATAAAAGAATTATTTGCATCGAAAATTGAGCTATAGATAAGTTACTCGTATAATAACAGAACCGACGAAATAACCAGACAACCTGCTCCTTCAGCATCTAGGAAAAGTAAAGAAAATCAAGAAAACGTATGCGAATTGTAATTCTCTGATTAAAAAAGGCATATAAAAATACCCAATTAAGTGTAAATGGTTTTCTTTCTTCAAAATATGCTGGGTAAGAAATGACTATTACTAATATTGAAAAAGAAGAAGCATTATCTCAAGATTTACGATTTATCTTTCAACACTTTAAAATGACCACTTAGAAAATCGATAATGCAATTTTCTTTTGTCACCTTGGAGAAGGTCCACTGAAGACGGAAAGACTTCCATGTCAGAATAATTTGTGCCTCCTCCTCAGAACAGGAACCTGTTGCCTCTACTTTACTCGATTGTAAAATCATATCCATTTCCTGCAAAGACATGTAGATTAGTTTTTTTTCAACTGAATAAAAATGTTTTAGAAAATAAACTGTAGTTGTTTGGTCAAATTAAAAAAACAAGATGATTGTTACCATGATTGTGAAGAAACCAATCTGTACGTATACAATTTTGAGAATAGAAGTTTCCAAATCAATTAGAAAATGAACAAACAAAAGAAAAATTCTCAGTACATGATCTAATATGATGGGAAACTTCTCTCATGAAATGTTTACATTTTAATAGAATGCATAAATATGAGGGGGTTATCCTAGTGAATATATCTACTTTGGTCATTAGGTCCATGAAAATGTTTAGGATGTTATAACTAGGATACCTCTCCCGCTAGAACGTGAGATCCGGCGTCGAGTTACAAGCCGGTTGGTGTTTTCCCATATCAGGTATCTCCCACAACGGAGAAAGGTCTTGAGCTCAAGACTGGTGATCCGACAAGTGTGGAAGTGTAGTGTGTGTAAATGAGTGTGTGTGTGTGTGTGTGTGTTGTGTGTGGATGTAAAGGGTGATGAGGGGGAATTGATGAGGAAAGAAGATGGCCACGATTCGAGACCCGGTTTCTAGCGAACTATTTCGTACCTATAACGTAGGTTCCTAGCGCAGGATTTGCCAGGTATTGATAAAAAACACAACGGAAACTATCGATCAGAGCATTCGTCCGATAAAATTCTCCTCCAGTCATATGAATTCGACTTAGCTATCTAGTATCGAAAATCCGCCACCATCTTAGTGTCTTAGTACGAAAATCCACCACCATCGGGACTCAAACCCTAGGGCCTCCCGATCAGAAACGCTGCAGCGGTGACTAATGTTATCGCTGGACCGTCTAAGCCGGTGATAGATCATGGAAATAAAATGAAAATAAAGCCTTTTCTTAGAGCTCTAGAATTATTAATGAAATACCTATAGATCCAAAATAAAACTAATAAATAAGGGAAAGTGGCATGTAAAAAAATATATCTTAAAGGCGTAATGTTAATTTTCTTGCATACTGATGAGCAAAATAATAATTGCAACCACTGAATGACCATTTAATTTGTGTTTGAAAGTGCCCTTGTAACAACTAATTAGTATTACACCATGATTTTGAGGGGAATATACTCGTGTATGTTGCAGTATATTAGGAGACTTTTGTTTGATGAAACTCAGACTAACCTTTGTCTCGTTCAATGACACGGCCCAATTGATGGAGACATAGGCATCCAACTCCATTAATATGCATACCTCACCACTTTTGGCGTTAACCTTGTATAGAGGAATTTCAGCACCTGTAAAAAATGTACAGCAAATATACGAAAATTCTTCAAATATTCATTTGTCACCTTGTAGGATAGACAATTACTTCGAAAATACGTCCCGTTCTGCAGTAAATGTAATACGTTGGGACAATGTTTTTGTGTAACAAATTAATTAATGATTCAAATTATTTTAAATGTCAGGTCCTCAACAGGGTTTCTAATGTTACGAACAATATGAATAATGGAAATATTCATGCCTATCTATGAATGAAACAATATATTGCATTTCCAAAAGAAGAGCATTGTTCCCAGATATACGATTTCCCATAATGTACCTAGAATGTACTTTATTATGAGGTTTGTACATAGAGAGTTGCAAATATAGCATTTTAAAAGAATTTTCCATATACACGGAATAAGAGGCAGAATCTTACTTGTTTCAGTTTGATTTTTGTCCTTCTCCGTGGTCGGGGAAGGTGTTGGCGTCTGTAAAAAGAAAAAAATAATAAGTGCACAGTAAAGCAGCTATTGCTCAGACGGACTCAGACGGACTCAGACGGACTCAGACGGACTCAGACGGACTCAGACGGACTCAGACGGACTCAGACACGCTCAGACAGACTATCTACAATGTAGAAGTTGTAGAAAGACACCGAAAAAAATTACACTCTGGTAATTTACGAAAATTCAGAGCCAACAGTGACATCTCTAATGTCAATATTTATTTTATTATACGTTTCTTATACATTACTGCATTTGTGAGCACAATTGCTTCAAATAATTTCCTATTTCAAATAATTTCCTATTTCAAATAATTTTCAAATTATTTCCTATTTCTCGAAAACTCAAAAGTTTTCGGTGAAAATGAGTTTGAAAATGCGAATTTCCAAAAATGCTCAAGGGACATTTTCTTAAGAATGGCTCCAAATTTTTCAATGAAAATGTGCGCATAGGACAAGGTTGCACCCTTCTAGAATATTCTTAAATTCATATTTCCATTCTACTATTAAGAATCCGTAATATTGAGAAAAATTGGGGAAGAATTTGTTTTAGGCACCAATAGATGGCAGCTGAGAAGAGGATGGCGCAAAACCGAGAAGATATGGAAACTAACTAGTACAAGTGACGATCTGATATTCTGCAGCACAAGTCAGATTCTTAGGTACTGCTTACGCAGTGAAGAGAAAGTATTGAAATGATGCCGGAAAAACGGCGATTTAAAGAAATACTCTTATTATCGGGCCATGGTAACGAAAATGTGGATAAATCTTGTTCGTACAGGTAGTAAATTATTTCTAACGCGTTTTATAGTTAGAATCCATATTTTCGTGCTTCTTGACACTGAAAAATTGATTGACAACAAAACATCTATCCTGAGGTCAACACTAGCTCCTAAACTGTTCCGACGATTTTCTTCAAAATTGATATTCCTTGATCGATCTCAATGAACACTAATCGCTACAAGTTTGAAAAGAATATTTTGTTTTGGGAGAAATGCGTATGAAGTCATACCAACATTTTCTAAAAAAGTCTCCAAATTTTTTCTTGGTTCTTTTTTCTTCTTTGATATTTGTGAATGGCGTAGGTCTCATTTTCGTTGAGTCACTAAATTTCCGAAAATTGTAAATATTCAATTTTTTTCGGCGTGTTCTTACAACTACAATAATGAGGATATAGATGAAATGAAATCTCCGAAAACAAATCTTTAAATAAGGTCATTTTCAATATTTTGAAAAAATGAGTATTTTTGCATACTTTTACGTGATAGTCAATTTTAAAAAACGTTTTAACGTTTTAACGTTTTTTCCTCAAATTTCGCTACACTTTTCGTTATTTTTTCCCTCATATGAATTAAAGAATGGTAAAAAAAATTGGTGCAGGTCGAGTTTTGGTTAAAGTCTCCGAATTTTTGAAAGTTGTAAAAATTTAAAATATTCCTGCAACCAAAATATTCAAGATACTAGACGTGTTTACTTTCTCGCTACCACAGTAGAAAGTTTTGTAATGCTGCGCGAAAACAAGGCGAATTTTCGGCAGAAAAACTGTTATTACAGGGCCCTGGTAACAAAGAAGTGGATAAATTCAGTTGCTAAATTTAGAAAAAATCCTACACCATGTGGTGTAGGCAGAATCTCTGTTTGTCCGTGGGTGGGTCCGTGATCTGTCTGTGAGCAACGCTAGCGGCTAAAACGTTCAGACGATTTTCTTCAAAATTGATATTCCTCGATCGATCTGGCTGATGTTGAGGCCTCTTGAATTTGGAACTGATTTTTTTTAAATTTTGGATGGTGCTTTACATGAAGCCTCTAAGACATTTAAAAACTAGGACATTTTCAAAATTTTCAAAAACATGGGTCGATTGTTTTTTATTAAGTTTTGTTATTGGATAGTGTGAAGGACGTTTAAAAGAATTCTTTGTTCCAGATCTGATGTTCGTTGAAAACGCTAATTTATCGAAAATTGATTTTTTCGGCCTCTTTTTACAACTACTATTATGAAGATAAACATTGTTCTGTTGAAATGTTCTTTGAAATGTGTTCATGAAAAGCACATATAAAAATAATGTCATGTTAAATTTTTCAAAAGCATTAGTATTTTTTGCGAAATTTTGTGTCAAACATAGGCAATGTTTATTTCCTTTAAACCATTTTTTCTTAAGAACGGTACAAAATTTTTTGTTTAAATTTAACCTTTATATAGCGTAAAGAATGCTTCAGAGAACGGCGCAAATCTCATGTCGTTAAAACGCTGATTTTTCGAAAATTAAAAAAACGTTTCGGCGTCTTCCTAGAACTACAATTGTGAAGATACTTTTTTCTTAATGAAATGTGTTCATCAAAAACATCTTCAAATAACGTCATGTTGAATTTTTGGAAAATATTGAAATTTTTTTGAGTAATTTGGCGTCAAACTAAGTTGCCCGCTCTGAAAATCCTACACTTCAGAACGTAATTTTAGAAGTATTTTGTGGCAGTTGGATACTAGTAAGATAGACTGTGAATATTATTTCATATTCCTTTGTTGGTTTCTTACATTCGAGCTCTTGTTATACGTTTTCAAATTAATCTTTTAGTTATTTAAAATCTAATTCAAATATATGAAACAAAATTTGCTAGCCTTCAAGGAATATCAGATTGGAATGTAGGTACCCACAGACCGGCGCGGAAGATCCGCAGCCTACGCGGAATGGCCGCGGTGGAAATATCGCGTCCCCTGTTGCCTAATGAGCACGTTCAGACCTGGCATTCGAGCGTCGCGCCAGTGGATTGGCAACGTTTTCTTACCTGTGGATTTGGGAACGCAGTCGGACGCGTTTCGACCGTTGCCGCTCGATTTTCGTGGAAACCCGCCTGCCTTCGGGAGGCTTCTGGATCGAGCTCCCCTTGCCTTTGTTTATAGGATAAGAAAAACGGTCACCAAACGTTGAGTTATAATTGCCGCTCCAGAGTGAACGTTCCTGCGGATTCCGCCGCCGCGCCTAACGCGGAGCGTTCCGCGCCGCACTCACTGCGGATCTCCCGAGCTGATCTGTCAGAGCCTGGCAACTATGGCATTCCGCGTCGCGTCATGAAATGAATTTCTGTGAATTACGTCTCATTGTAGTGGCATGATTTAGCTGTATGAAAAGAAGTTGTAATTGTCAAATTTGTGGTGATATTTGTTTGAAAATATTTAGTTTTGCCCAAAATGCTACACTATTTGTAATGAGTTTCACAAAAAATGACAACTGATATGTGTTAATTCGAAGATAAATTTAGGTATAAATACTATTACATAACCATTATTAAAGGAGAGAATGTACGTGCTGGTTTAACAGCACTAGTTTGTTAATGCGATGTGTTCATGAAAAATAGATTTTGAAATGTTCATTTTTTCGAAAATATAAATATTTGTTTGTATTTTTGCCGAATAATGCAATTTTGCAATAATTTTAAACAAATATTTTATCGAAAACAGCACTAATTTATTTCTCTCAACTATTTTCCTCGTAGGTAGCAAAAATTGGTGGCAAAAATTGGTGCTAGCTAATTTTGTACGAACTTTCATTTAGTGTTCGATTTTTTCAGGTTCACTTTTCAGCTATCTGGCCACTCTGGTTATGAAGTTGCAATTTAACAACAGGAACGTCACCATGCGGCGAGAAGTTCATAATCTCTTCAAAATCTCTAAAATTCAATAATCTCTCGTTGTCAGGCGCTGTTTCTAGAAGAGTATAACATAAGGCGATAATGACGGTCGCTGACGGACGGTCGCGTTAATATAATCTAATAATTTTATTTACGGCTGAAATACGCATCTTTGGTACATTTATGTAGAACGTGCATACACTGAATTCAATGGCAGAAAGCTGTTTAAACGTTTGAATTTTAAAAAACATAATTATTTTCGCGCTTTGATTCTGTAAGAATTTTTCAAAAGTAGTTGAAGCGTAAGTCAGATATTGTCATATTACATAACCAATAGATAAGATTAGGTTTATTCAGTTAAAGAAACAGTAAAAACTGTATGTGACGTAGGGGAGAAAAGATTATCTGCGCACTTTTTTTTTTAGTTCCAAAATCTCTTTCCGTCATTTTAACTATAAATAGTTGAAAGTGATCGCGAGAAAATACGTGCTGTTGAAGCAATAATAGTTAGCATTGTGACATTGTTGTTAATATATTATCTTTAAAATAATTAGTTTTCACTCTTATTGTTCTGCGATTTGTAATAGTTTTACAAACGATGACTGAGATGTTTAATATAGACGGGAATTGCTGTATAATAATATTACGTAATCGTTACTAAGGGCAAGAAAGTAGATCCTGTTTTAGCGCCATTAATTTTTCTACTTTAATCCAATTCGTTGGAAGTCAAGGTCCTTCTTGGCAATCGAAATAAAATATTGATTTATTTTTGACAGCGTCACGTCTACGGAATTAAAGAATGCTTTTCCCGCCGGAGTCTTCCCCCTCCTGGCTAGCCTTCCCCTCGGGACACGTCATCGCCCGATCCGCCTCGCGTGGCCCTTCGTATCCTAGCTACGACGATCATGTGACACGCGCCAACACAACACGCTTCGCCCACCTGCTTTCGATCGGTGGTGTAGCGCGGCAAGGAGTTTCCTCTCAAGGACGAGGAACTTTCTACAAAACTCAAAGAGATACCCATTCTGGTCTCACAGACTCACATACTTCCCTATTATGTTTTAAGATCGCTTACATCAGTAATGAAGTAGTATGATTACACAATTACCTCAATATTCGTTGTGTAATTACTCACCGTAGTTACATTAGTAGCCAAAGACGTAAACAAACTCCCTGAAAAGGAAATGAATCATGTATATTATTCATGTTTTTATTATATATCTGCATCAGTAAATAAGACATAGCCTTTGGAAATATTTATCATCCATTTGAGTCTTTATCATTTTCATCAGACTTATATAATACAATATTTCTCAAATGTAATTTCTATGTTATAAATGTGCAAATTTTTTTTCGAACCAACAAATATAAATGAGTCCAACGATTACTACTCTTGCTTATCAAATTTCGCTTCAAATATGTAAAAGTTTATTTTAACTCCAGGGTTAACAACTACATGAACTCAACCACATGAGCGCGCACAGGGGAGGTCGGGGAGGCTGTGCTCGTTCCCTGATAATTTTGAAAGAAACCCCGTCATACGTAGTCATACGTATTAAATATTTTATATTCTTAATCATTTTCAATCACTGATTTTCCTCCTTTTTCTCTTCGCAATTTATAAAATTGTTATAACCCTGTCAATGGTATAATAATAGTAAATATCAAAATCAATTATATTTTAATTAAATCTTTAAAGTTATAATTTCATTCTTTTTACAGTGTATTTCATCAATTACTAGTCAAGGGCGTCATAGAAAATAAAAAGTTAACTGAAAAAGGGGTCCCAGAAATTGAGTCCGCCTCCAAACGCCGCGAAACGGCTGTTCCTAACAAATGATGAGGTCATAGATCCAACGTCAAACAAAACAGGAAATGAATTTTCTCTCACTGTAGGCGTTTAACGATAAATGTTTATAATAAGAGGAATATGTGTTCATTTAATGACAGGAGAATGAACTCCCCTGAACTCATTCAACCGAAACTTCAATGTCAAATCTAAAATATTTGTCGCCTCTAACTTTAAAGAAAAGTGACTTTTCGACTTGTTATATACTAGTAGCTAGTATAGTAATAAATAGTAGTTAGTAAGTAATAATACTATGTCTCTCAATTCTACATCTATATCAAAAATTATATTTGGCTACTTAAAAATAAATAAATAAAAATTTTAATTAGTAAGTTAATAAATGAAAAAAAGTAAATAAATCAATACAGTTTAAGAAAACGTCGACGTGCTGATACAAACTGTTGCAGCAGCATGGGCGACCCGAAGGGGGGGGGGCAGCTGGGACAACTTGCCCCAGACCCCAATTTAATTGAGGACCCCGAATTTTTTCATTAAAAAAATTTAAAAAGGTATTCGTCTCTAATCCAAATTTAATTCTAAAATATATTTCTGATGTATGAAGAAATGAATTCTGTTTATGAAACAGGAAGAGAGAAGTTTTTTGTTTGAAATGAGGGGCCCCATGGATCAACTGCCCTAGGCTCCTGTTTTTCTCTGGGTGTCCCTGATCAGTAAAACATAATATTGGTATTGGTTAATAGAATATAACATAAAATCAGAAATTTAATTTACGAAAAAGTCATATCGTTCACTTCCAATTTAGCATCTTATTTATTTTACCACCAACGGCTTCAGAATAGAATTATGGAGGATGAAGTTTTCCAGATAAGTTAAATTTGAAGAGCCTTCAATTTTCTTCTAGACTATTCTGATTCATGCTCTTAGATTCATCATATTGCCTTAACATTATTAATCTCACGAGAGAAAATTTCCGATTTTTTCATCTCGTGAAACAGTCAATAAATTTAATAATACAAAGTCATAAATTTTCAAAAAATATTCCATACATGTTTTTAAACCTTTTTCCAGGATCTTATGTAATAGGATTGAAATACAAATCAGGGAAAAACATGAACCAAAAATATCTGCAAGTACCTTTTAACTAACGTGTTAATTTAACGATCTAAAACAAATTGTTGATACAGACCCACATTCGTGCCTCATTCTGAAAAATATAATTTAACAGATAGTGAAACACTTTCATAAAACGGCAATGTACGAACAATGAAAGGAAAAAGCTATGAAAACAGAGACTTGGTAGGTAATGAACGCGTGGATGAGCAAATGGGCGAATGCTGAGTTAACTTATTTTCTTCCGGACAATAATAATTGTAGATTTATTCCTCCCCAAAACATCTCGCGCTGCTTAAATTGCTTTTTTGTCGTAAAAACAAAATGTAAATTGAAAAACATTGAACAAATAAAATATTGAGCAACTCAGTAAAAATCAAGAATAATAATTTTCAGCTGAACATCTTAAAATTCCATTGGTTTAGCGAGATTTTAAATGTTTCCGTTTTGTGATCTGTTACTTGTAAGTTTTTAAAAGAAATACATTGAATGTAATTAAAGTTATAGATGTAATGTATTAGATATAAATATACAAAACACTTCAAACTTAAAATCATAAATATATTCTTAAACATAGAGCTTTGTTTAATTTTTTGTTTAAACCTTAATTTCTAATTTACTGCAACATTTTTCTTCGAATATAAATGCTAATAGTGTATTTATATTTCAAAACAAAAGTATGTTAATAAATATGAATTGTGTTTGATTAAAATTAACGATAAAATCTAATCGAAAACAATTATTTAAACTCCTACCATTGAAAGAAGACAATTTGTAAACCATAGCTTTTTCTAGTCATTCCACATTGTATAATTCAGTGAATTAAAGTCTTAAACTCGTATATTCATGATTTAGAATTTGTGGTCATTTTCCATGAATATCTATGTACGAACATTGGGTACGCAAATACCCATTGGAAGTACAGGCATTAACTGGTTTTGCATTAGGCTGCGAAGAAAACACGTTCCAGCACATTTTGAAGTTCTAGAATGACAATTTTCCCCGAAACTATAGGAAAACATCGTTCGTGAAAATGGCAAAAGTTCTATCCATATCTGTTCGGTGAAATATTACTTTTCGTAATACGGTTTATATTACAAACTTAACGCAACCAAACTGGAACGAAATTCCACACTAAATAGCCGATGTCCGTTAAGGATTAAACAGTCCGCTATCCGTTACGAACAATCAGAACAAATGCGCTATATCCATAGATATAAGATCACTTATTCGAAAAACTGAATTACTCGCTTAAGATTTTTTTCTTATAGGAAGATGATACTACGAAAAGTATTAAAAGGCACACAGGGAATATCACGAATAACACACTAGGTTGTTTTTTGCTGTGAGTGGGAATAATGACGTTAATAACTATTTAACCAGAATATGAGGGCAACTTAAAAGATAACAGCAATGCTGCCTTGCTCTCACAGGGAAGGGTACTCAACCTTCCCGCGTGGGCAATGCTCTTGCCGCAGTCTCGGATGCGTCAGCATTGCGCTTTTCGGAGACGCCTCAACGGCACAAAATCCCAGGGGGCACATACTATCTCGCAGCAATATTAGAAAGTCATTGCTGAGAGATTCAAGTGTCATTGCTAGATTAATTATGAACTCATTTTGCTTATTCCTTGTATTCCTCTCTCAGAAACATTCTTCCGCAGAAATTAACACTTAAAAGGTAAAGCGTTTGGCGTAAAAATTGTTCAGATTAATAATATCAGCAAAATATATTCGCAACTGGACAGGTTCCCAGAAATATCTTGCGGGGTCTTTAACTAAAGATAAATGACACAAACTATAATGCAAAAAGCCATAATTCCGAAACAACAATTTATTTGGAGAGAAAATGAATGAATGACCACTTTAGCTTTAAATCTAAGTCTGAATAAGAACAGTAATTTTACTCATTAGTAAAGAAAAGTTACCAAGGTATTGAATGTACATTAATAATAATAAAAAAAATTACACATTTCCTTTAAATTTCTTACACCTCGATCAATTAAAACAACATTAAATTATAATATTCCAGCTCCACCAAATAGTCCGTTGGGGGTGCGGGGGCGTCCTTACCTTGGAGCAGGAGGAGCGCGAGGCCAAGGCGATTCATGGTGGCGGGCTGGCGGGCGACTGGGCTGGCGGCGGCGGCGGCCGCAGCGCGGGGCGGGCGACAACAGATCGATGGGGGCGGGGCGACGTGGGCGGAGCGCCCTACTTCACCCTCCCGCCGCCCATCTCGAAGGCCCACGCACGCACGCGCTCGCACGCACGCGGTCGAAGGGCCGAGAGGTGCGACCGGCAAGGTCGGAAATAAGCCTCAGTCGTTTTAGAGCGGCCGACGTCAATGGAGAGGAACCCCGAATCCCCTCCGCCGGGTCGTCGCTCCCACCGGCCGGCCGCTTCTCACATTTGGAAAATCAATGCTCTGGATGGAAATATTAAAACACGGAGAAAAGGAGCTCACTCTACTTACGAAAACTATGTTTCAGTTTTCATCACAACTTACGCATTTACTGCACGTAACACGCAGTGGATTCTTTTTAATCCACACTTCAAAGGAAACTCGATAAAAATTTTATAAAATTCGATATAATCATAATGTATAATTGTGTAATATTTTTAAAAAATGCTCTTCGAAATTAATATGTAACCTCCTAAATTAGTCCTCCCTCCCACTGTCATGTTTTACTTTCCAAAATACTAATACAAGATAACATCTTTCGTCTCTAAAAATTAGCAAAAATTGAAATTAGGAAACGAAATCCAACTAATACTACTTTGTATATTACGTTAGCAAACGTTTGCCATCAAACAGTAACACAAATACCATGTCAATTGTTTCACTGAATGAGAAAACCTTAACATTTTCTTTCCCTTAAATAAATCTTGAAATTAAAGAACTTCTTTTTCCGAAATCTGAAAATTACGGCTTCAATTTTTTCGAAAGAAACATACCTAATACGAATTGAACATACATAATTAATTCTCAAGACAAAAGGAGATAAGCATTTCTTGAAGTTATTCTGTTAAATGTTAACTCACCTTTATTAATAAACGTGAAGTTCATTAAACTGCCGTGTTCCTTTTCCTGTACTTAAATTCTAATATAGGTAATGCGAAGTTTAAAATTAAATGGAAAATCGAACTTTCATGTTGTCAGTGTCCTTGAAGAAACATTTCAATCGAAATCTGAGGTCAATACTCTTTTGATAAATACGTGTTTGTTTGTTTGTTGTTGTTGTTTTTTAAGTTTATTCAGAAGGATATTTTTAACGTTAGCTATAGAAGACGCTTAGCGCATGCCATTCGTCGTGGATAAACAATCCAGAGCAGTACAATGTAGCAAAGCAATAATAATATTTCAACCCTGAAGCATCATTGAATCTCAGGAACGCTTTCCAAATACAGTTAACTTTTATTTTAGTATTGATTACTTCTAACTCCTTTCTGGTGAATTCACATTTCTTTAGAGCGATTAAATACCTACCAAAACAGAATATGTATAAAAGGTTAAATAGTAAGCGTAGGATGTTTGTGATCAAAAATATTCAAAATTAGGATTTTCAATCAATTTTTGTTTCCTTTTTATAGTTTTTAAAATCTTAATCTAAGGAACCATAGATTTTCAAGAAAAAATTTAAAAGGTTTCTATTGATACCTTTGGGATAGTTGAAACGTTTCTCCTTTCTTTATTGAAATATTCCTTAATTGAAGGACTTTAATTACTTGTCCTTGAAATACTTTAATCTTTCATTAGTAAACCCTCTCCTGAGCTTCATTAAAATCCGCTTTGATGCAGATTAACTACGTCCACGTTAGAAGTATAAACTTTACGTTGTCGATTTCTTTAGACTTCCCAGGCAGCTTTATTGACCACTAACCACACGACCCATACACACATTCAATTTCTCAATACATGCCCCTTAAGTTACAACAGCTAATACGAATATTCTTTGGTCTTATAGAATTTACGTGACATTTTTTTCTTATGGCATAAAAGAACAACATTGATATTTTGCAAATACGAATTCAAGGCTAAGAATCCATTAAAAAGGTTAGTAAAAATAATATAAGATAATGTTTAAGGATATAAATTAGCTCCAATGAAATTTAATATTCATATATTTTAGACCCTTAACATGTGTAGGTACGTATATTCAGAAAATTTTTTAGGTGCGTCTGCACTGCAGGTCACCAAAAGGTTAGAAAAATGTCATGGTGACACACGACGCCCGCAGCCGCTTCCATTGCTTTCTTCACTGATGACAGAAGGTGAATATGTACCAAAACAGTATGGATCTTAATTCGATAAACTGACGGTTGAGAAGTTAGCATTTCACACTTCAGATCTGAAGAGAAAATGTCTTACAATGTGTAATTTAATCAATATTTTATAAACTATGTGTTAATTTTAGTTGCAAACATGTTAAAACCGTTTAAAATTAAATTTAATGTTTTTCTACATTCAAAATATGACGAAGATTACGAAATCCCAGGCTCACTTCATCCCACGTCTCCACCTGAAGTCAACACTTCCCATCTGCTCATCACTACCACATGCTAATAGCGGGGAAACAAACTTCTTGCTTCGTATGCCCTGAAAGCATTGACAGCTGTGCCAACCTCCCTAACTCTAGGTTGACGCAGAAAAGCAAGCGATAGATAAGCTTCCCATCCGTCGTTTTACGCAGTGTCGTCATGCGTTCAGTATCGATGACAGTTGATGCTTTTCTAGCACGATTGTGTCACATTCACAAAGCGCCAATCTTGTGACAGCAGTTACCCCTTGTGTAGATCCAAGAAGTTCCGTCTGGAGATCTCATGCTTGGAGAGCCCGGAGCGAGGGTCGCTTTTCGTCTGCCTAGAGCAGGGGTGTCCAACATGCAAGGCCTCAAGGGCCACAACTAAAACCTTTAATAAGGTTGCGGGCCATGTTTTCATTATTCGGGCGATCCACACTAGACCCTGCATTGTTGATCTCTGGAGTTTACCTAGCTACACTGACCCGGAAGGGAGAATGGAATCATGATGCATGATATCAGGTCACATGTATAACGCAGTGAAACACATTGGGATAATTTTGAATTTCTGAATTTACTAGAAAAAAATCCTTAAATCTAAACTTACCTTTTTTTACATTAAGGGGGTGTTGAGTCTTTGACCGTAGCAGGGCGCGGCCGCTAGGCGCACATACATGCAAGGGACTTTCACGTTTGACGAAGAACCTTTGGCGCACCGCCAGTCGGACAACCCTGGCTTAGAGAGTCAAGTCCTAAGTGGTGCGGCATTACAGGTTGGCTAAAAAATTGCTTTCGTGCCCGCGAGGTGGGACTTCTGTTATCCATGACGATGCTATTTCGGTGGAAGGAAATTTAGAAATTGCGGTCGCTTGAAAATTACCAAAGAAATATTATTCTGGCTATATGAAAAGACAGATGTGTCTTACGACTGCGTTTTCCAAATTACCTAAGATTGCTAAACCTTTGTTGACGCACGCAAAAGTATGCATAAAACAACGTGTAATTCTTTAAACTCCAAGCAACGATAATGCGCACGAAGTTACGAATAGTACTACGCTGATTCCCCAGAGTAATCGCTTCAGTATCTCAGTTTTGTCCTGCGTAGCGCCGATATGACGGTCTCTAGATGTGCATTGAAAGTTGCGCTATTTTCATTTCTCTTTGGAGGACCTTCATTTTTTCTTTGGAGATAGAAACACGCTCACGATTTCACAAAACATCGGTTGCACACGAGGTTTATATCGTGTCGCAGCTGACTTTGAAACAATTTTGAATCAGTTTGAACTGGAATTTTGAATCACTCTTATAGATGCCAGCGAGCGGCTGCTGTATTTTTAACACCGCTCGAAACATTTCGTTGCGCAAAGACCTGCGCATCGCTTGCGAGTCCGCAAGTACTTGCATTTTTCCATTATATGCCCCGTTAAGGGCAATTAACGCCGTTAGATCCCGAGTCGGTCACCCAACCAGGAACACGCGATGTCTCGAATTCGCTGAACCTTCGTGACTTCACGAAGTTTACGGATTCGGTTGGCGATGTCTGTTTCGCAGTTATGGCATTTCAGTAAAACCATCGCAGCATTCACCCGAATCACCAAGGGAAACCACGAAAAATCTCGGCAATGGTGGCCGGCATGGGGATTGAACCCAGACCCCCCGAATGTGACACACATCCACTCAAAGGATATAACCGATTAAGGCGGTGAAAAGTGCCCCCATATCAAATCGATACTAGCGATGCTTATATAAAAGAGAATAAAAAATGCCGTAGATTCCCAAAACATCAGTACCCTAGGGCAATCTGTGGTGGGAATCGTGTTTTTCATGTCAGAAGTTTTTCTTAACTTCTATTACATATATCAGAAGTTGAAAAAGACGGGGGGAAATTGTTGAATTTGAAGGTATTTTTGTCAACAAATTTTGACGCCAAATGCATGTAGAAAAAATATATTAAGTTTTAAAAAATTGCTTTTCGACGTGAAAACGTTGGAACACTGCCTCGGTTTTCCTCTAGAAAGTGTCTTTTAACATTCTTTAACATATTTTTTTAAATTTTTAAACAATGAAGACAATAGTGACAAAAAATTAAAACCAATATAATCAGTTTAAAAATTTGAAATTCGTGCCTAAATGTAATTTGGAAAAAAACGTTCACCAATTCAGGAACTAAAAGGGCAGATCATAACCATGTGATGAATCATCATTACCTTCACTGACATCGTGAAACCAAGCTTTTTTTGTTGTTGTTGTTTTAGGTCCTTTAATGTCCTTAAGTTTCCTCTTAGCGTAAAGTCCCTTTCTTTCTGACGTGTCTGTCAGAATTGTAATTAAAATTGACAATGATTTTCTGCCCGTCTATCGGTCCGACCGCCTGTCTGACAGTCGATCTGTACGTCTGTCCCGTCATTCATCTATGCGTATGTCGGTCTTTCCGTCTGTTGGCCTTTCTGTCTTTTGATCTGTCCGCCAGTCCATATGTCGGTTTACACACCTGTCAGCTTATTTGTCCGTCAATTGTGGGACTAAACTCAGAGACAGCTAAACCGATTGCGATTTCATCAAAAGGAAGAACATTTTGTAGCGCATAATTTAGGATACATTTTCCTGATAATTATTTTCCAACAAGCAAATCACCAGTGCCGGAGCTAGACAATTATTATCCCGGGGCAATGCTGAAACGTAACCCCCCCTCGAAAAAATTAAAACTGTGAAAGTTGTATTAAAAAATATAAGAGTTTCTATTTCATTTATATTTTATATCAATTTGGGATAGTCAGTTCTACACTTCAATGAAAATACATGGCCAATATCTGTATAAATACACTGAAGAGAAAAAATACTGGTGCTCCTGCCTAATATCGTGTAGGGCCCTCGTCTGAAGAATGTCTGAAGTAGTTTGACACCATGAATCCTGCAAGGCTGTCCATAAACTCGTAAGAGTACGAGAGTAAGCGTACGAGGTGGACATTCTTCTGAACAGCACGCTGCAAGGCATCCCAGATATGCTCAATAATGTTAATGTCTGGGGATTTTGGTGGCCAGTGGAAGTGTTTAAATTTAGAAAAGTGTTCCTGGAGCCATTTTATAACAATTCTGGACGTGTGGGCTGTCTCATTGTCCTGCTGAAATTGCCCAGTCGGGATGCACAGTGGATGAATAGGTGCAGGTGATCAGGCAGAATGCTTACGTACGTGCCACCTGTCAGAGTCGTATCTATACTATCAGGAGTCCCATATGCACCCACCCCATGCCATCACAGAGCCTCCATCAGCTAGAACCGTCCCCTGTTGACACGTAGGGTCCATGGATTCATGAGGTTGTCACTAAACTCGTAAACGTCCATCCGGTCTAAACAATGTGAATCGAGACTCGTCAGACCAGGCAACGTGTTTCCAATCATCAACTGACCAACGTCGGTGTTGACCGAGGCTTGGCGTAACGCATTGTGTCGTGCTGTCATCAAGAGACACGAGTGGGACGTCCGCTCCGAAACCCCATATCGATAATGTCTCGCATGAATAGTTCGCACGCTGACACTTGTTGATGGCCCGGCATTGGAATCTGCTGCGGAAGGGTCGCACTTCCGTCACGTGTAATGATTCTCCTCAGTCGTCGTCTGTCCCGTTCTTGCACGAAGTTTTTGCGGCCGCAGCGATGCCGAAGGTTTGATGTTTTACTGGGATCTCGATATTCACGGTACACTCGTGAAACGGCCATACGGGAAAATCCAAATTTCATCGCGACCTCGGCGATGCCATCCATGTTCCATCTCTCTTGCACTGACTAGAACACCACGTTTAAACTCGCTTAAATCGTGATAACCTGCCCTTGTAGCAGCAATAACCAATCTAACAACTGTGCCAGACTGGTTGTCTTATATAGTAGTCGTTGCCGACCGAAGCGCCGTATTCTCATTGGTTGCAGATCTCTTTAATTCAACATGCGTGTGGGTGCCGGTTTTTTCGGCTCCTCAGTGTATAAATTTGCAAAAATGTGTATTAAAATATCTTGGATAGGATAGGAGAAAATTTGAACGCTTTCAGTGACAGCATTCTTTTGTAAATTTTCCAGAATTGTCCGACATGTTCATTTAAAGTCTTACCGTATAAGTAATGACTATATTTAACTATTAGGGGTAAAAAAACAATTGAAAATTATATGAAATAGCAGAATACCTAGACTTATAAAATTACCATATCGATTTTTTTCGAGATTTAATTTCATTTTCAATATTTTTACTATTTTTCCCCATGGGTCCCATTATCGGGCTCCTTGTCTTGACCGGACGATCGCCAGTTCTGCCCATGCCTGCACCGGCACTGTGAATAACTGTTTATTATTCGTTTTCGTTAGTAAATCTTTATTTCAATTCCGATCTTATGAAATTTTGTGCACGTTCATTCAAAACATGAGAAAAGTTACTGTCTACATTATGTTTTGTAAAACTATCCCGTCTCTCTTTTCTACTGCTTAAAATAACAATTTTAATGTATACCGTTACTTTTTCGCAAATACCTTAACATCGATTATTAAATTCACGAAAGTATACATTATTGCATTGGTGAGTGGAAGTGTTTCAAATTACTTAAAATGAATCTTTCCGCAAACACAAAGTATTCCTGTAAAAAAGAGCTTTAAATTTCGAATTTACATGAAAGCTTAACATTTTTTTCTTAAACGCTCCATTTTTTTCAACGATAGTTTCCATATAGGATGAGATTTTACTTTTCTTTAATATTTTAAAAGTAATATTTTGAAAATACCTATAGAATTTAGAAAACTCCAAAAAATGTACTTGGAGTGGCGATAATGACAGTTGGCAAGACCGTAAAGCTAGCCCACACAAAGGAAATTAGAAAACATTACCAGGGGAAAGTCTGTGCCATTCTGAAGCACCACTAATTTTTTCGTAATTTCTCGATGGCATTCGACTATTCAATACTTTAACATTTTAAACAACTTGTTTTTCTTTACTTTTAAACTAGGTAATTGTTTTCCTTCTTTCTTTTAGAGTACGTTTATAAAAACTAATAATGTGTATTTTTGAAAAATTAACAATATTTGTAAGTGAAGATGACTTTCAACATCGTCGTAATATTGAGCTGGTCAATTAATAAATGTTATATATCTTTAAAATATGCTACGTTTTAGATATCTTTTTAAAAATAGAAACTTTCTCTCTCCTCTAGGATCTTTAAAAATAGGAATATTCAGTTTGTCAAAAACCATTTGTTTTGTCTCAAGGGCCCACAAAGCCTAGGTGGGAACACCTTAAGGGAAATTATTTATTACATGCAGGAGCAAGAATGATTTATTTCTCGGTATAAAGGATCCAAATACTCAAAATTTTAAACTCAGGGGGCCGTAACATCAGCCAGATCAGGCCCATTTCGATGAAACTCCTGCCTACGGTTTAGCCGCTAGCGTTGTTTATAGCAATGCCGTGTCAACACACGGTCCCGGACAGTTCTTAAAAAAGATTTAATACTTCAGAAAATAAAAAGCCGTACATATAATTACGTATGATAAATCTCCGCGCAAAAAAATGGCATAACGGAGTGGGGTGTCGCGCATCATTGGATAATATTTATATTATGTTATGTTGCTGTTTGAGGCGAGAATGCCAAGATATCCGTTGCAGATTCAAGGGACCGCGACATCAACCAGATCACACCGCGCGACGAGACGACGGATGGAAGTCTGAGAATGAAAAGAAGTCTTCAGTATCGAGGAAACCCCATGCGTTTACTTTACGTTGATATCTCGAAATCGATTTCCTGCAGTAAAGGGTAACTTTCTGTATACTACGTATGGCAGATATTCCTCGTACTAGTTAATTTTCTGATCTCTTTAGTGCGAGTTAGATTTTCGGAATTGCACCATTGCTATCTATTGCCGCCTAAAGTAGTTTTTCATGGTCTCCATAATGTTAGAACACAAAAATGTAATTACCAGTTTTTCGGTCTCTTTAATGTTACAACTGACATGACTTTACGAATATTATTGAAAAATAAAACTTGGTCCTGTACGAAAATTTTTCGTTAAACAATTTGGAGCCGTTTTCGAGAAAATGGCGTTTGAGCGTTTCAGAAAATGAGCAAATTTGAAATCATATTTATTTGTTTGTTTACGGGATATTCCCTTTAATACATGCAAATATAATATGGGAGTAAAAAAAAGTTTTCACCAAAAACATTAGTTTTCGAGAAACTCCACTGGAAATCATTTCAAGCACGCATATAATGTTTCTAATTTAAATATTAGCAATGTAAGAGTAATTTCAAAACAATTACAATTGTGTATTTTTGAAAAATTCAAAATGGCGTTAATGTCTTTTTATTCAGGGCATTTAGTACAAAAAGTTTAAAGAAAAAAAATGATGCAGTTTTTTAGAAAATGTCATTGGGAAATGCATAATTTCGAACTTATTTTCACAGAAAAGTAGTCTCAAGAAACTGTCAGAAATTGTTTAAACCATTTGAACTAAATAATGTACACAAAACACTAGTAATGTAAACATTATGAATGTGAGAGAGATCAAACCAATTACATTTGTGTACCCACCGCGTGTCGATCTTTAGAACATATCAAAGGGAGCGAGCATTTGTTGAACATCAGCTGTTCAGAATTGGGCAAGCGGTAGCTCGATATGGCTGATGATCAGTTTTATAAGGAAATATGCCACTTTCAACTTGTAAACAAAATTTCTTGGCCTGACATGTTTTTGGAATTTATAATCCAGTATAGAGATGAAAGCTTTCTTACAAACTTACGAAAAGGCAATTAAAGTAATTCTGACCACAGCAATTTTCAGTGCTAATTACAAGAGATCATTCAGCAAATTGAAGTCAATTTCCTCAAACCTACAAGTTTCTTTAGGGCATCTATGCTTGTGTAAAAAAGATCTTTGATAAAGAGAAAAAAATAGCAAACTTTAATGAAATAATTAATCTGTTTTCATTGGTAAAGGCAAGAAACTGTCAGTTTAGTTTATTTAGTTTGTATATTGTAATTGCATTTCATTCTTTTTTTCACTAAATACAAAGTTTTTGTAAGAATGTGACAAAAACAAAAGCAAGAACCACACGCAACTGTCCATGTCCATGTTGTGGGGAGGGGGCTTGCAATAGGAAAAGGTTGTCTTGGTCATCATTTTACCTACATGCAGCACTGGCTTTGTTGAGCAACGTAATATATACATAATATCATTTAAAACTAATCTAAACACGATGCTCTTTTTCTCCTTTACATTATGCTCCACTCCTTTGGAACATTGAACAAAATCTTCATCACACTAAATCCATATGAAAGATTTGTGAATGATAAATCCACCCAAATGATAAATCTTGCCGGACTGTACCAGCAAGAGTTGTTTCAAAGGCAACTTTCAGCAATAAAAATGTTGGGCTGCATAAGAATTATTAGCATGGTAACTCACTCTTCTTGTTTCAACTCTCAAAAATTTTATTTGAAGAAAGACTTAGGTGACAACAAAATCATTATTGAGTGGTTGATAATAATACACAACACGTTTAATTTTTATTTCTTCATTTTCAGTACCTTTGTTTCGCATTTTTGCTATATTAGATTATGGTAATAACCCTCTTTTATTTAGGAGAAAAGATTTTCATAGTTCAGTGCAGAATGAAAACCATGAGTTGCATCCAGTTGTGTCTAATGCACATTTTTACGACACTTTCTGCAGCATTACTACATTGCCCATTTACATTACCTAGGTCCCTCAAATGGCCATTTCTCTGAGGGCTAATTGATTTGTGGACAAATTTTCTACATGTAAACCACATTGTTTACAGTAATTCTATTATCTCTTTAGCAAAGAAAGTAGAGAACTTTTCAATTGATCTTTATATTTTAACTGATAACTAAATTTTGTCAGAAAACTTTTGTATTAAGGCTGAAGTTTACTTACAAGGAATCTATGTGGCATTCATACTTCATTTGCTGAAATCTGTTGCCAAATTAACAATTGTTAATGTTAAATTGAAGTGTTAATAAGACATTTTGCCAATTGTGTGGCAATTGAGATGCACAACACAGAGTATAATGGCAATTAATCCAGTGAGTGAGCTTACTAAATATTGTGGAAAACAAAGAGATGTCTCCAACAAAGACTTGTGCTTAACCACGTACAATGTATTGGACAGGCTCAGGGATGATTTATATTAATTGTATAGGTTGGAGCCTTGTTCTGAACTTCCAGATGTGTAACAAAACATTTGGTGTATCATTGAAACATTCGGCAAAAAAGTACTTTGGTTGGGCAGACTCACAGAGGTTTTATGTTATCACAAGGGCTAAAGGCTGGAGCCTCATTATGATATTCAACATGAGCGAAGTCACTGCACCTTACAAGTTTGAGGTTATAAATAAGACATTCTGCTTGCAGGTGCTCGTGGCTCATGCTTACAAAAATACATGTGTTCAGTTAATTGGCTAATTACATCTACACTTCACTTTTAAAACCCATGTGGTCGATACACGGCCAGAGATGAGCAAAAATGGTGTCTATTCCCAGTAAGTAAACTACATCCCATATTAATAATCAATGGTAAATAATTTTAACATTCAAATAGATCACCAACCGCTGCAGTTATTCGCTGCACAGTGGTATCGTTATACATATGGTATCAGTAGTCATATTCATTTCAGATGTGTATTTTTTATATAATTGTACTAATCACATTCTAGGCACAACATTATTCTCAAAAGCATTTCCATTTGAATAACAAAAGAGGTAACATCTTCCTCAGCCTTGTGATAAGCTTGATTAATGCCCCCAAATTATAAACAGTAAATATCAGAATTTTTAATGCACTTATATACAACACATGTTAGCATCTGTATGAACACAATAGTTTCAGCAAATGAGTTTGCTTACTATTTGTACAAATAACCTTTCTAATTATTTTTTTGAACAAAGGGACTCTTAAAGTATCAAAAAACAAGATTAGCTCTTTGATTGATCTCTTAATTCTTAAAAATTCTACAGCACATATTCCAGCATTTCACACTCAATGTACAAACTGCATTATTGCAAAATGCACACACATAGTTCAAGAAATAAATTTAATTGGAATGCAGAATTTAGCATTTCAGTCCTCACCAGCCCAAGTTTTCTTGCCAATAGCCTGAGCAGTTCCTAGCCGAGATGGATCTTGAGAGGGATAATGAATAACTCCTGCCTTCAATGAGGTGGCAGGCAAAGTACCTGGAGGCACAAGAGGTGCAGGATTTGGAGGCAGTTGTGGCAGGGCAGGTGTGGTGCCTGGTGGGAACAATGGTTGCTGATTCAGAGTAAATGGAGGCCTCACTGCTGGTGGGGGACGTATTGCAGCTGCGGCTGCAGCAGCCGCAGCGGCTGCACGCATTTGGGGCGGATAGAAGAATGGAGGTGGACCAGGCGGGCGTACTCCAGGTGGGGGTCTTGGTAAAGGTGGAGGTATAAGCATGGGAGGGGGAATTGGTGGCGGTATAGTTGGTGGTGCCACACCTCCTGACACAGAAGTTGCTGTAACATCAGTATTATCAGTAAGATTAAAGAAATTATTGTGCAGCTCTGTTGGAGGAAGAGGAAGAGCTCCAGGCAAGCCAGGAACTGGCTCTAGTTCTTCCATGCCATCCAATCCCTCCCCGCGTGCTGATGCTGATGGTTGTCGGGCTTGAGATCGTCCCCACTTGATGGTGAGTCTTCTCCCTGCCAGTATCAGTTTATTGAATGTGCGCTCTGCAGCCTGCTCCGCAGCTGTGCGAGATGTAAACTGAATAAACGCACACTGTTGTCGAGCAACCAAGGTAATAGAACGAATCTCTCCATATTGATAGAAATGATCCCTGGAAAAATAACAAGAAATGCTTGTAAAACATTTATCATTACACAATATGGACAGGAGAGGTCATTAAAAATTTAATGGCAAGACCAAGTTTCAAAAGAGGGAGATATGCATATCCCCCACTCATGTATCCTCATCTCCTCTGTAACTTTAGTAATGTCATAAGTTTGGTTTCTGATACACATCATATTTCATTACTACAAAGCTCTAAGTATAGCTCTGGTGTAATGATTGTTTTTATGCATTGATAGGATTACAATGTTACTATATTTAAATGTATCAAAATTCCATATAACTAAAGAGGAGCACATCAATGACTCAAAATATTGTATATTTGTAGAAAAAGTCTTTAACACATTCGATCCTGAGGGATACACCACATGGTTACCTCCTATGTCCTGGGCATTATAGCTATTTTTTCAAAACAAAAACTTTTTTGTTACAAAACAATACCTATTGTACACATTAGTTTGAAATAGATTAAATCTTGTAGTTTTGTCTTTTCGCTTGAAGTCTGTATGTATTTTATGATCATTTGATTACAAGATAGTAATGAGAATGGAATTCAAAGAAATACATGTTCTTAATTTTATATTTTTGCTAAAAGTAACAATGTTACACAATATGTACAGAAACACATATAACTTCATATGACAACAATACTGGTGCACTATAAATGTATTTTGTTGAAGTTCATAAATAGTTCCACTTGCACATCCGTTTAAATCTGCCTTTATTTTTTGAAATAGGCTGTGGCAAAAAAATGAAAAATAGTCTAGTTGAGTCGAGTCTTAATTTACACAAAATTTTATTTCCCTGGTTTTCTCAAACATTGGTAATTCAGATTGTTTATCAACTTCACAGCATTCTAATAGAAATGACAACTCCTGTATTTGACAAAACACCAAGAGAATCATCCGCATCATTATCACTCTCCTCAATATAATTATCATGGCTCAAACTAGACAACGTCCCAGGATAAAATTGTCATCCACATCAGAAGAATCCAATTCAGATCCGTTATTCAAAAACTTTTGAATTTTTAATGTTCAGAGTCACTGTAAATTTGACATCTGTATATGTCTTGTAAACCTCTATGTAGCCAAAAGAAAGAACAAACAATTACTAAGAAATATATTCTGTAATAGACAATTCCTGCAAGTACAAATACCTAATCGCTTCCTGGAAATATTGCAAATACTTGCAAAAATTGGGAGCACAATCTCTTTTTGAAGCCGGTGTTGTTATTTCAGGGGACATACTAATGAGAAGATTTCAAAGGGACTATAATGTAATAAAAGTAAAGAGATTTTTACATCTCATGAAATGACTTGCCTCTTGTGAAATGTCAAGAAATGAAATAACAGACCAAACTTCTTCACTAGCACAATTAGTCAATGCAACCAGGGATTCTGTATCTGCTTCTTGAAGCCGATGCTGTTATTTCAGGAAGGTTCAGAGCACCCTTTGTTCGTAAGTGCTCAGATGGAAGTGGCATTTCAAAATTGCATTTATTATTTGGAGATGCTCACTTGGTTCATACTCTGATGAAGTATCATCATCATCATCATCATCATCATCATCATCATCATCCTCCATCATCATCATCATCATCATCATCATCATCTGTCAACAGCTAGTAATCTTGGAGCTCTGTTTTGAAAGCCAAGAGGTCTAAAATGTCTTCCTTTAGAATTCACAGCCTGTTGATGTCTCTTGAATTCTATCTTCCTCTAACTTGCTGCAATTGCAAAATCTGCATTTGATTCTAATCGACCTTATGTTCTGGCAGATATTCCGTATAATCCGATGACTCAATCTAAGAAGTCTACCTCACTCACAAAGGAATTTTAACTTCTAATTGCTGCAGGGCAATTAATCATGACATATTCATGGGGTTCTTTTCACCAGCATTGGCACAGATCTTCTGTTTCATTTATACAACATAGGAGGCCAAAATCACTGGCTTGTTTTCCAACCATATCAGAATACAAATTTGTCCATCACCGCATAGTTTTGCCTCTAAACATTTCTTCATTTTTGCATCTGATTTGAAATTTCCATTATGTGAAATGTTGGATATCCTCAGAGTTCCCATAGCTTGGCACCCAGATTTGTCAAACAATTAAATTGATGTAAAATACTGGTCCATGAATAATACAGAATCCTGGGACAAAAACCTGCATATTCGAAAGACTACTCTTCCATTGATATCTGAATCTGACACAAGGATCTGAATTGTCAACTATTTTGTCACATTGTCCCTCATACAAAAATAAATCAAGAGACACTAAATAAGCAACAACACATTTGAGCCTACAGGCATTTGGTTTTCTTTTATGTACTATCAAGGAAAATCGTGCCCATAGAATGAAATCATTTGGTCATCTTGGCAATATTAGCATATTTCTCATTCAGTAGGCAAGCTGTCAATGAATTCAAGTCCTTGGACTAGCTTTCCAATATTTAAATAAAAAGATTTTTTGTCTTCTGTAACAATGAGACCTCAAATTTAAGATTATTACATATGAGATAATATATCTCTTGACATATTGTTTGCAATGGATAGATCGTGAGTATTCTCCTCCCAGTAGATCCTAATTTGCAGAAACTTCAAGTATGATATTGTTATTGTCAACAAAAACAAATGTTTTGAATTCGTATTGCCAGTTCTACAGATTTGTCGGTTTCTCAAAGATACCTCAAATTTGTATGTCCGGTCAAGGAATTACTCATGCAACTTTTCTTGAACGATGAATTGAAAAAATGTGGGTAGAGAGGGGGGATTAATACCAAAATTGGCCACTAGATTTGATGAAGCAATGCTACTCTGGAGAATCAGTCATGCCTTCGCAACTTTTGAGGAAGTTTGCATTCTAACTTTCTCAGGAGTTCTAGGTATATTGTGTAATGAATTTTCACCTGCTTCGGTCATTTCTTTAAATTTTTCAGGTAAATCATGGACAGAAGTTCTCGTCTTCAACAGATAATAGTTTCTATTTTGCCTTAAATGAAGATGTGTTGGAATGTTGTCATCAGTGTTTGCTGTGAGCTTTTGCCTTCAACTGATTATTTGTGCCAGAGAGTGGGAAGCAAGGTCATTGTTCAAGTTGGGCAATTATACTTACGAGCTCACATGGCATGAACTTGTGGAAATAATAATGGGGCACCAATCAAAAACTTATTGTCGCACTTTCCTCGGAACGCAGGGCTGGAGGCAATGGGTTGAAGACATCAAAGCATCTTTAGTTTGCATTTCAGAAGGTAAATCATGTATGAACTGTCTCCAAAATCAATTCCTGTGGTCTCCATACTGGTGATTTTAGACACAGAGTTGTATGTGGAATAGATGAAGATATTGAAATTATGACTTAAAACGTGTTGAAGTAACAGAAGTATAAAATTCAATGCCTTTATCAGATTGAGAATCAATGTCTTCCACCACAAACATGGGATCTTTGAGTTCACTGTGATTAAAGAACAACTAGTAGTTGGAGGTGTCTTCCCTAATTATCTCATCCTCGAAATCTCTGAAGTGGTGAGAATCTGCATATCACATCACATAACATCTTTATTGTTTTAGAAATCAGAAAATTTGATTCTGAACAACAGAAATCCATTCACTAGTTAAAATGCATGACCTAATATATGTCAGGAGACAATACCAAAAAACCATTATTTCTGAGAAACTACACAATGATAAGCAACAAACTTTACAACAAGCCTTAAAACTAAATGTTTTAAGAAGGCCATCAATATCATCTTATACCCTGATGTACCAAAAATGTGAAAACTTACGCACACACATCCCACTAGAAATGTGCCATGTTTATGAGAACTTTCCTGCCTTGCAAAGCACTAGATGTGAAAGATCAAACGATATAATACCCATCTATTGATGTCACTCAGACTTGAATTCAAAGTTAAAACTACAGCACGGACCATACGGCCGCAATTCAACATGTTCATTCCATGTATCGTCCACAGGCAATGCCAGGACAGAGGAGGGTAAGAGAAACAGCAAATATACATGCAACCCACAAGCATTGAATTGCTACCATTCTTCTTAACTTAGCAACGAAGGATCCTAGACCATTAAATCACATTTTTGTGTCATTTGGGACCCAAATATGGCTCACATTTTACAGCTACGTTTCTTACACCGCAATCTACACAATGAGAATTTTTTGGATGTTCTATCACATATTTGGATGGAACCTCACCCTGGAATACACGTCAGAGGTATTCAAAGCTGGGTTCCAATATGAAGATGATGCTATTTATAAAGACAAGACCCAAACCATAAAGCCAACACATATGCCTGAACACATGAAACTATTTTCTCTTCTACTACAATCATAAACAAAGTGCATGGGTCTAGCTACTTTCATTACTTTTCAGATCCGGTCACCTTATTCTAGTATGTTCGATTTGTAAATACAACTTTGATCATTCACAACCGCAATTTACATTAACTATGTGATAAAAATTTCCTTAACCAACCAAATAGATATTTCTCCTCAATTCCTACATTCGACCTCAGTCACACTCTTACTGCATTTTTCACTTTTACTTTGTTTTGAGTAATGTAAAAATGTCATTGAACTTACCTCAATTCTTTCTCTGTGAGTTTGTCACCTAGGTTCCCAACATACAATGTAGTAATGCTCTTGTCTTCTGGAGGCTCCAGTTTTGGCATAGCCGAAGCTCGTCTCATTAACTTTTCAGCAACAGGGTCATTTATACCATAATACCTTCAAAAAAGTTAATGACATATTTATTAAAAGGTCATCAAACAGGATCAAATGTCAAGAATTTTTTTTCTCAAGTTCTTTACCTGTCCTTAATATTTTGATCAGCTAAAGGATCATCGGGATCTGTGGGTTTTTCATGACGATAAGGGCACTCTTCTCCTCGTTTACATTCTCCTTTGACCCAGAAGGAGCAAATATGTGGTCTATTTCGTTTATAATAAGGACTGGTGCGAGCAAGTTTCATAAGTAAATCACTTGCTGCTTGAGATTTGCCAACAGCTCCAGCAGGAGTGGTTGCATCAATTTTTCCAAGCTACATTTCATAAAAGGCAATATAACAATATTACATTATTGTAATATTACAATAATATCTAATGGTCCACAATCCAGTACATAGAAACACAAATTGCCCAAAATATAATTATCCAAAACAAATTAATATTACCTCTTTATCCATGTTCTGAATGTAATATTCCTTGTTAACATCAGAACGAGGAAGATCATCTTTGATGCGAAGAGCAGCATCTCTGACTTGAATAGGAAGACCATATTCAAGATCCAATAGACACGTCTGACAGACATTTTTCAAGCGACTGCATGTTTGACATACTTCAGTTTTCTTAAAACGCATTCGTGCACCAGGACACCAGCGAAATACAGTAAATGGGCGAGAACAAATTTTACATTCTTTCCCATAACGTTCTTTTGTCTGTGGGAGAGAAAAAGATCTATGATAATGTATTTGGTTACAAGAAAATCATTACACTAATTCAAGTAAGTTGTTAAAAGCAAAATATTAACAAAAAGTTGGCCCCCTGTAAGCAATTATTGCTTCCCCTTCTTTAAGGGAACCGTGGATATACCAATAGACAATCGATCATCATTTCTCCATCAAGACTTATCAAAACATCATTTTTTATAACAAATAATTTTAATAATTAACACTCACTTATGCAAATTGTACTGTTCGTAAATAATGATAAGTTAGCACAACAAAATAATACATCACTACCTTAAACCTTCCAATATGATAAAACAAATTCATCACATTCACTAAAATTAATGTTTACTAATCAACAGGGCGGCCACTCTTTTTCAGGAACAACATTTTACCAGACTTCCAGCCCATTAATATTCCCCCCCCCCTGGTCTGTTTTGTAATTTCACAATTCTTTCAGAAAATATTAAAGCTATCCAGATACTATTTGCTTAGCTCTCTGATTTCACAGTACAATTTAACATTTTCTCACAAAATAAAAACTGAGCAAAGAATGTGTGTTGTAATGCTGTTTATAAGGTATAATATCTAATTTTAAAACCTTCTCACAATTATTTCTGACTTCTAATATTCTCAATAATTCAACAAATTCTCAGATTTTTCCAGAGCAATGAAATTCCCAGATTTTTCTGTTGTTTCTTTTTTCTAGAAAGTGGCCTCCTTGATTCCAAATATTACATTCATTTAGCAAAAAAATAATACTATGTGACTTTAACACATAAGAAATTTCTAAACACACATTTCCTGTAAGTAGTATAAGGAATCAAATTACATGCAGGTCAATTCAGTTTTCACCACTGTTATGGGCAACTAACAGATTTTCTTTCTTCCATTCATCAACTATTTTCTTGCTTCATTTCAATACTTCATTGCCTTTTTAAATAACAAACTGAAATCCATTTTAGGCAGAATACTTCTGAACAGGCAAGATCATTGAGAAAGGAAAAAAGATACACAAATTCAAGTAATGGTTATGAAGCAGCATTATAGAATATCAAAACATACCATTCTTATATAAGGGTTGTCTCCCAAACACGTCTGACAAAGAATGGGAAACTCCTGTAAAAAATAAAGATGTCAACAGACTTAGGAGAGACAACACCAAACTTCTACAATTCATCGACTTTCATTTCATCTATCCTTACCGCATCTTCCCAATTCTGACGATTATAAGTATTTGTGGTTTTAGATGTAGCCATCTTTCATTCGAAAATTAAATATAAAAAACAATTGAGCCCAATCGTTCACTTCAGCCGCTTAACATAACATCCTACGTATAACGGCACACTCGCAAGCCTCACATTACACCACAGTAACTACATCGCCATATTGCTACCAACACTACGCTTTAATTAAAACAGAGTAGCATATTAAGGTCAAGACTACACGGAAATGGAGAAATTGTCATCGAATCGGGCCTCAATATGGAAAATGCAAGTCATAACAAAGCTTTCGATTGGATGATGGTTTCTCTTCACGATTCACTCGCGATCTTTAAGTGTCAATAAATTTAAATTAGAGTATACATACTCTGGTCCGCACCAAAGAAAACATCTTTACACGTATAATTGCGGATCATGGTTGTCTTCTGTCACAGCAATGGCATACACGTCCGGCTACCACCAACCGTGGAAACTTTAACCTTGTAATAAAGTTGTTTCTACGGTTTATGTGTTGCAGGTATAACATTTTCATAAAAGAATTGTAAATAAAATACTTACACTAATGTAATATAAAAATATTTTCAGGATAATCGGTAAGAAACTTTCCCGTGGTCAGTGTAATTCAGATTTCAAGAATGGTATTCCTTCATATAAATGATCATGTTTTCCCTCCAAATGTGTGAAGATTCAATGTGAAATGTGTTGTGGAGATGTGTTTTTGAGCGTGTAGATTAGTTTAGTGGTTGAGATTAATTGGAAATCACAACCATGCAGCGGTGGCAGTGCATAGAAGAGGACTTCAGTTCTGAAGACGAAACTAGTAATTTCTCAAATAGAAAAATATTTACTGCTAAAGATCGTATCGAAGAATGGTTGACATTACGTACGTTTGAAACTGCTTCAGAGGTAAGTTGCAATGGACCATTAAGTGTCAGTCAGTGAGTAGGTGTGTAGTACATTCTGTCATATGACATAACAAGTGGTGTTGCAGAATGGCACTGATTAGTTACTTTTTTAATTAATTTGATCTGGGCTACCTCTACGGTCTTGCCCCATCTTGCCAGTTGCAATCTATTGCCGTGAAGTATTGTTTTCTTCTATTTTTAATTTTCCTAAAACTAGAATCGAAGTATTACTTCAAAAATATTGTAGAAGGGTAAAACTTTCTCCTACATGGAAATTTTCTTTGAAAAATTTTGAGCCGTTTTAAGAATATGTTTAAGCATTGGTGAAAATGCAAAATTTGAAGCTCTTTTTCACAGAATTTTTTTGTGATTTTGAAAAACTTCATTGGAAGTTATTTGTAGCACATCCATTGACAATAATGCAATAATGTATACAAATCGCAGGAAATGTGCATAATAATGGCTTAACATATTTCAATAAAAAAATTACAATACAGCAATAAGGCTGTCACCTCCAACAGTGCATATAGCACAGCCTGTACAAAAGTTTGGAAATAAAATTGAAGCCATTTTTAAGAAAATAGCAATTAAGCGTTTCTGAAAATGCGGAAATTTGAGCTCATTTTCACAGAAAACTTCTGGATTTTAGTGAAGCTTAATAAGGCATCATTTGGAGCATTTGTTTTCACTTCAATAATGTAAACAAATACATAATGTAAATATTAACCACGTGAGAGATGTCAAAAAAAATTACTTTTTTGTTACTGGCATAATAGCACTATCCCTACCAAAAGTTTAAAAAAGAAATTTGGAGCAGTTTTTGAGAATTTTTTGCATTTGATATTTTGAAATCTTGCTCATATTCCACACAAATTTGTAATTGTAGAAAGACGCCGAAAAAATTTCGAAATTCAATGTTAACAGTGGTAATCACTGGTAACAGTGGCTATATGTCATCTCTTTAAGTGTATTTCCTTCTATTATTATAAGAAATTTAAAGAAAAAACTTTGAGCCGTTTTTGAGATAATTTTGAAAATATCCCAGAGACGTCATATTCCGCAAAAATTAATGAATGTTATTCAAAACTTCAGAGCTTTGAGTGAGTCTAAATCGATTGACAGTTTGGAATACCTACGAAAATGTTTAGGTGCTTATGTTCACTGACGACAAATGGACGAACGTAAAAAAATACTTTTGGTATCAGAGGACCCCAAAACGTGTATTTCCGTTGAAATCTCGAAATTTATTTTCCAGTGCATTACATAACTTCCTCAATACTATGTAAATTACTCCATATATACCGTACGTATATGCGAGGAAGTAAAGATCGCCAGTTTTTCTGGCAATATTACTTAAAAGCTCACATTTTTGTGAATAAAGTGAAAAATTGTACTTAACCGTATTGCAAGATATGCCATTGAACAAGATTTTATTACGAAAACTAGTGGTACTACAAAGGCACAGACATTCCCGTATTAGTTTTCTATTTCTTTTGGTCTCGACAAGCTAATTTGGCACATACTTTTGCTAGCTGCCATCTATCGCCGCCCAAGGTACTTTTTTTTTTTTTTTGGGAAATTTCTCAATTTTTCAGTTTCCTAATAGTAGAACGGAAATATTATTTTAAGAATATTAATGATCAGTAAAACCTCGTCCTAAAAGACAATTTTCTTTGAAAGATTTGGAGCTGTTTTTATGAAAATGTCCTTTAAGCACTACTCTAAATTCGAAATGTACTCTTCTTCATAGAACATTTTTGAGTTTTCATTTGAAGCACTTCAACTCACAACAAAACAAGTGTTTATAAATTGCTGGACTAGTGGATATTACCGGAGTGAGAGATTTCTCATTTGTGTAATTTTTGGAAAAAAAACAACAAAATACTCCAAAATTAACTTTATGTCATATTAAAGAGAAAAATTAGCAGTCTCCCTTCGAAAAGTTTAAAGAAAAAATTAGGAGCCATTTTTAAAGAAGTTTTTGCGTTTCTGAAAATGCTGATTATTGAGTTGGTTTTCACAGAAAACGATTGGGTTTTCGAGAAAATTTATTACACATTATTTAAAGCACATGTACTCATAAATACAATAATGTAAACAAATTGCCGCTAATACAAATATTAACAACGTGAGAGAAAAGTCAAAATTACATTTTTCTAATTTTTGAAGAAAAAAATTGAGCAGTATGCCGTTTATGTCATCTTATAGAATGCATTTAGCACTATCCCTATCAAAAGTTTAAAGATCAAAATTAGGGCCGATTTTGTAAAAATTTTGTTTTTGTATTATTTTTTTTAATTGCACAGATTGCTCGTAATGTTGCGTGAAAACTATTACAGTTTTCAAAAAAAATTGCAGTCGTTTCTGAGAGCATACCCTCAAATTTCAAAGAACATTTTTCAAAATCTTAAAGCTTCTACTCAAGGCACAGGACAGGGGTTTCTTCAATTTGGATAACATCCTACGAATGGTTAGGGGCTAGTGGTCTTCACGGACGGACTGACACGCGGACGGACGGACGAACAAACGGACGGTTTAAAAAAGAACCATCCTTTCTGTATCAGGGGACCACAAAACGTGTATTTCCGCTGAAATCTCGAAATCGATTTACGGTTGCATTACATAACTTTCTCTATACAATACGTATGTAACTCCGTTTATACCTACGTATACCGGGGCGTAAACTAGTTCTGCGGAATGGCACAGACTTACCCGTATTAGTTTTCTATTTCCTTTGGTGTCGCCTTTTTATACAAACTTGCCACATATTCGTGCCATCTATCGCCGTCCTAAGCACATTTTATTGACATTTTCTTAATTTTTCGGTTTTCTAATAGAATTGTAATATTATTATTGTAAGAATATTAAAAAACAGTAAAAACCTCGTCCTAAATGTCAATTTTCTATGAAAAATTTGGAACCAATTATATAAGAAAATGGCTTTTTAACGAGAGAAATATTGCACGCAAAATTGGGGATACTTTTTATGACAGACGGACAAACTGACGTTTGGAAAATAACCCCCTTTTCTCTATTAGGGAACCCCAAAACATGTATTTTCGTTGAAATATCGAAATTATTTTCGGCATTACATAACTCCCTATACTACGTATATTACTTCGTACATACGTACGTATATGGGAAAGTAAACTAGTTGTGCTACAGAATGGCACAAAACAGCACAATCAAGAAAATGGCGTTTAAGCGAAAAGAAATTGCTCGCAAAATTGTGGATACTTTATAGGAGGCCCCTGGTGCAAATTTTGAAAATGTCCCGGGGCTTCACGTAAAGTTCCACCAATTTTAAAGAATGTTTTTCAAAATCTAAAAGCTTCGACTCGAGTCAGATGAACACGTGCTTTTTTTTCCTTCAATTTGGAGAAATCCTACGTATGGTTTAGATCATAGTAGTGTTCAAGGACAGACGGACGATTTGGAAAGAAAAACAAGAAGAAAAAACATATTAGGTGCCAGGGAACCCCAAAAAGGACGTGTATTTTCCGTGAAAATCTCGAAATCAATTTTCCGAACTTTCTTTATACGACGTATATTACTCTGTATATCCGTATGTATACGCGAAAGTAAAAACGGGGATTCTGACTACATATAGTGTTAGAGAAAGTAATTTACTGTATATAGGAACAAGTTTTATCCACTTTTTGGTCTTCAGGGCCAACAACTCGAACGTTTCTGTCGAAAAACCGCCGATTTTCGCTGCAGTATGGGTGTGTCAAGCCGTCACAACCACTTTAGCATAATCACATCAAACCAAATAGAATATTTATTACTAATTTATTTCACAAAATATAAATTTATTACCATATAAAATAAATGTGGTTGTGCTGACGTGACTGTCAAGCTGTCGCAACCCAATTGAAATAATATTTAATACTCTTTTACTAGTAATTTATAACCCCAAAATGATTTTTTTCTGTTGTTTTTATTAAATAAATATTGTTATATCCAATTGTGCGGCCATACTAGGCATTGGAGTGCGAGAATAGAGAGTACGAACGGGCACAATCAAATCAAACCAAATAGATACTTAAATACGAATTCAGTATTAATTTATTACCCATAACAGATATTAATTTCTGTTGCCATATATATACAAGGGAATGTGCTTGTGTCGCACATAGATGAATAAGCTATTCGATCAATTTCGCTGAAAATTTCACACTTCGTTCTTAGCAATGGGAGTGTTCAAAGAGTTTTTGAATTAAATCGGACATGTGTAGGGCGTTGTTGATTAATTTATTCGTTTATGACAACTCAAACGCCCCTGAACACTACGCAAACTGCCGCATAGTGAGGGATTAAGCACATTCTAGTATTCTGCCCCTGCTATTCTGCAATATCGGCCGGCATTGTTACTTAAATCTCGGACAAGTAAATCAAATTTCTCCAAAGAGAAAGAGTAGAGTTTTTGCACAGCGTAGTGTAAAACGAAATTAGCAATCGCGTGACGAGCAGTGTGGGTTGTGTAATACCTCGCGATAGCGAAGCGTTGCCGGCTCCTCTAGTATTAAATATTGTTAAAAACAGAATCATAGTTATTCAACCATGCCATTCGAATATAATAATGTAGAGCGCGGTACAATGAAATCAAATATATAATTAAATTCACATTTAATAATAATTTATTTCCCCCATCAGAAATTTATTACTGATGCTGTTTATTAAATTAATATTGGTAAATACAGTTGTGCCACTATACCAGACATTGGTGTGTGATAAAACTGTACGGACGAGCACAATCACACAAAAAAAATAGATCATTAGGATGGTTCTCACATTACTCTCGTCAGTTGATCGAAAAGTTGTAAATTTGGAACGTGCTTGTCAAAAAAATGAAGAACGAATATCAAGTAAATTATTTCTGTATTTTGCGTCGATTGGTAAGCTAGTATTTTTTAAATGATGTACGGGTATTAAAATTAGTTAATTATTTTACAAATCCAAGCTAAGAAGCTAATTTGACTCGAAATGCCAACATGAAATACTGGACTTACTGGAATAATGTAATTTTCAAACGCACGTACCTGCATTTGCACGTTGCACGTACCTGCATTTCTCTTCAAATTTCAGCTATCTTATAAGTAGGACATCTCTTAATTTTGTAATTTTTTGAAAGAATACTATATTTAGATTGCAATTAACAACTTCAGAGATCTGATAACTTTCAGGCAATAAACTTAGCAACGCTTTTTATTTATCATATTTGTACCAATGGTTTACAGAGAGCTAGAGAACCGCCATTTTAATAATCTGCTTTCCGACTTGGTGTGCTGCTGCCTACACTCATGTTTTTCTTCAATAAACAACACTCGCTTACCTCACTGCTACGTGGGAATTCCAAGGTTATTTGTTGAACATGAAGTTAAAATCCTGCATTAAACTACATATGAAGTTAGAGTAAAGGTCCAGAAGGCAATAGAGGATCATCCACGCACACCATTAAAATATTTTATCATCATTTATCAGAAATTACCCCGTATAGGCTTGTCAGATCAGAAAGCAATGCCCTCAAACCAGCCTGCTCAGTTTCTCAATATTTACCATTCCCGCCGAGTAGTACGTCATTCAACGTTGCTGCGTTTTTCCGTTCTTACAAAAACTGATGACAGTTGTTATTTTCTTTTTGTGTTCTTGTCCAAAAAGAAGGGGGTAAAATATTTTCATTCCAATTCTTTTCTCGTTAGAATCTCTTTTAATCTGTATTTATAACATTTCCCTCTTTTGTAATCTTATGTACATGTGTTTCAAATTTGATTATTTATGGTCGGATGAGATACTTTTCCTATACTTTGCGTGTTAAACCGCAAGTTTTCATATGTGATTATCTTTTAAACTATACTTTATAATTGCTTCATATTTTGAGAAATGTAAATAACATCTAATCTTTTGATATATCAAGGCTACAACGTTTAATGTTATTTTTGACATAACGTGACAACCTCCTTAAATACACATGCAATACTAATTCATTAGCCGGAACAGAAATGTATAACTGTTGAGGTTTATTACATAAAAATTGTTAAATACAATTGTGTGACCATATAAGGCATTGGAGTGTGAAAATAGAGAGTACCCAGTAGATAATTATAGCTGTATCGCTCGCAAAAATAAAATCATGTTTGGAAAGTCTCGAAAGCTTCTCCACCCTGCCGCAGCTGCGATTTTGCCTTTGCGACAAAGCGCGGAGGCGGCTCCGAGACCGCAGCTATCACACGGCTGTCACTCGTCATCACTGCCTTTGTCGTCAGAAGGGTATTTCGTACTGCTAGGAGTGTCCAAAAAATGACGAATTCATCAATGTATTTGGTCTATAACATAATCGTATTACTGAAATTCTTCTTCAAGACACGGCTTATTTTCTATTGATTATTTGGACAACCCCTTCTTTAGAAACACGTAAGCTGCATTTCGTCTGATCCTTCTCACTCATCAGTTTGTTATCGCCAAACTTGCAGTGTGAATTACCGCGTGACCCACGAGAGAAAGAGAGCTATGCTGTGACAAAGATGGCGGGCACGCGGAGAAATTTGTAGCTTTGGAGGGGAAAGCCACGTTCGGGCTTTCGCAGTGGAAGATTTTTTTAAACTCTGGTAGAACTATAAATACCCATTCAATACTATTTTACCCCAAAACAAATTTATTACTGTTGTCGTTTATTAAATAAATATTGTTAAAAACTGAATTATAGTTGTCCAACCGTGACATATTCGCATGTGATAATAGAGTACGAACAGGCACAATCAAATAAAACCAAATAATAAATGAGTACTAAATATTCGTATTAGTTTGAATCGATTTTACCCTTTAAAAAAATTGGTTGTGCCAGCTTGATAGTCACGTCAGCACAGCCACATTTATTTCATAAATGGAAGAATTTTCTAAATAAATTGACCTCTCGATTACGTTCCATAAATGTCTGATGGGATTCATGGCGGGCGATATGGGTGGCCCAATCATTCACTCGAATTGGTCATGATAACATGACGCTTTGGCATCCATGAAAATAACATTGTTGTTTGGGAACACGAAGTCCGTGAATCACTGCCATTGGTCTCAAAGTAGCTGAACATAACCATTTCCAGTCAATGATCGGTTCAGTTGGACCAGAGGACCCAGCCCAGTCCATGCAAAAACATCCCACACTATTATGTAGCCATTACCAGTTTACACTGTACCTTGTTGACAACTTGGGTCCGTAGCTTCGTGGTGACTGCGCCACACTCGAACACTACCATCAGCTCTTACCAACTGAAATCGGGAATTACACGGTTGAACCACGTTTTCCAGTCGTTTAGTGTTTAATCGACATGGTCACGAGCCCAGGATGGAATAGATGGCGTGCTGTTAGCGATGGCATTCGAGTCGACCTTCTGTTGCCATAGCCCCTTAGAGCCAAATTTCGCCACCCTGTCCTTACGGATACTTTCGTTGTACGCCCCGCATTGATATTTGCTGTTATTTCAAGCATTGTTGCTTGCCTGATAGCACTTAACTGTCTCCACAAACGTCACTGCTCTGTCTTTCAGTAAAAGCCACTGCATTGTCCATGGTAGAGGCCTGAAAGTATGCCTGAAATTAGGTTTTCTCGGTACACCCGTGACACTATTGGTTTAGGAATATTGAATTACCTAACGAATCAGCTCCAACTACCCTTCTGCGATCAGTCTCTTAGTTCCTGCCGTGCGACCATATTTACTTCAGAAACCTTTTCTCATGAATCACTTGAGTACAAATGAATGCTGCCATTGCACTGCCCCTTTATTCCTTTTGTGTGCAATCTTATTCTTGCATATTCCTATCCCATGACGTAGTACAACGTCCAGTGATCAGCGAATTATTAAAAGTTCATTAATTCAGTACCGACGACGATAAAATCTCTGCTATGTCTGGAGGCGGGTCGGTATCCTGCAAAGGATGAGAGAAATTTCAGTATTCGTACGAAATGAATGAACGGCGTAGTTTGAAACACTAATTGTTCTTTCAGGGGTTAGGTTTTTTAACCAATTTTACCAACCAAGTTTTTTTTTTCTGTGTCAGAAATGTACCTTTGTTCTGACTGGAACAGAGGTGGCTGTTGTCCTAACAACTCAAAATGTTTCTTTTTGTTGCAGGTACTTCAGAGACCTTCTGTTAGATCCACTACATCAGTATCTGGAAAGATATGCGTTGCAATTAATGAAACCGTTTTTGTGTTTAATGACGACAAGTGTTCAGACTTAATCATCAGCATTAATGTTGGAAGTGAGGTGGATTGCTGTTGTTTTATAGACAGAGCTAATGTACTGTTAGTTGCTACCAGAAAAGGTGAAGTCACTTGTGTCTCCTTTCAAGGACATGTTGTTTTTGTGAGGTATGTACATTTTAAGTTAACATCTTTGTATCCTTAGTGAACTTTTGATGTTTGATAGTGAACTGCTGGATGCACGTATCCAGAATGTCTTAGAATGAACTGACAAGAGAAGCAGATTGTTGATGGTCTAATGATGTCTTGAGAATTCGCTCTGAAAAAGTTGTATATCGAAAGGCTGCATGGTTGGGGCGTGTATTCTCACTTGATCCTAGAAATAACTAGAAATGTACGAACTTTGAAATGTATTTATAAATTATTAATATTTTATTAAGTGCTAGAATACGAAGTATGAATTGTATTTATATTTTATTAATATTTTATACAAGTGCCTAATCACCCAGGGGTTCCCATATGCGTACACATATGCACACATCTATTTTTATGCAGCATGTGGGGAACTTATTACATATTTGAGTATTATAGTAGAAAACTTGCAATAACCGCCTCTTTCCAAAAATACGTCTTCGCAATCTTACATGTGACATTCTCGTGCACTTTTCGAATTCGCTTGTAACGCTGGTTGAGGAGACGCTAAGTCGAAAATCACCTTGTCTACACCTAAGAAACATCTTCACCGTGGCTCTAACTTGCCTTTCTTAAGTTCATCAGTCTTCAGGGTGTTATGCTTTAATTGGCTTGTGTTGACAAACGGTACGTTATTCTTAAATGAACTCCGAATTATCTGATGTGTGGATATGATCCGTCTGTGGTGTTAAATGCTTGTGATTTCAGTGTCCTTTAATTCTGCTCTCCATCTCCTGCTTCACTTGGCATGATTATTCTAGGAGTACCAAGAGAGTTGTCCTTTGATAAACAGTGTGAATTTTAACTTGCAATGACTACATTGTAAATTACTGAAGAAATGTAAAATAGCCTAAGTTTATTCCTCCTTCAGGTAAAACATTTCGCTTTTACTAATCCAATAGTTTTCATATTCGCTTTGTCTAAACCAGCTTAGGTGGCTCAGGGCATCAATTTATGTCGCTGTATTGCCTAGGACTGGGAGGTCCTACGGTTGTAGTCTCGATGACAGCAGGATTTTCGATACTAGCTAGAGAACTAAGTCAAATTCAGCCGCTGTCTGAAGGAGAATTCTATCTGAAACTACTTGTACCACCAGTCGATATAGATTGTCGCCATTCTATATGTTCTATGCAAAGTGCGATCAGTACTCTATCATGCAAAAATAGACTCTCTCTACCATTATTTCGTATGATCTGGTCATTACCTTTGCCACCTGCCTTCCTTATAGAGAACAGGTTCCAAGAGCTATCTGGCAAAACCCACATCTTCACGGTGTCTATATAACCATTTTCACCATCAACTGTCTGTCATTTATACGCCCACTACGAAATGCTTCAATCTGCACCCCCACTTTAAGCACTGTCCATTCCTTTAGGTGTTCTGAATTCTTCATAAGAAACATACCTGTCACGATGGTTTGTAACATGATGTACAGCAACCACTGTCTATGAACCTCTCATCACATTTCAATTTATTTACCCCCACTGGCGGGATACATTCTTGGATCGGCATTGCAGTCTGATCACAGTTTTTTTAGATATATGCCCATTTCCTTTGCATTTACTATACTTGTTTCGCTGTCTCGAAATGTGGCCAAAATTACCACAAAAAAACGCTTCTTTTCATCACTTCAACCCCTTCTGCCTGCGCCTTCATTCTTATGCAGAGAGTATTTCTCTTATACACATAACCTCGTGTTTGACATCATCACAGTGGCCACCTTTGTCATATCTCTTCCTGCTATTCGAAGTTCCTAGTTCAGGCATCTTTTGTAACTTTGCTCAAGTCTTCTCTTCTTCAGCTAAATCATTTCACGTCACATAAATATCAAATGGTTTCGGGAGTGTTTGCAGCAGCCGAGCACGTAGGTCACCTGCATCAATTGGCTTGTTATGTAAGCTCATTTTTGTTTGCACCTCGTCGAACTTTGCAAGATGTCCCTGCACACACCCTGACCATTCCCATTCGATGTTGTGGAATTTATGACGTTACAAGTCTTTATTTTCCGCCGGCTGTGTATTGTATATCTAATGCGTCTTATTCCGCACATCTTTGGCAGTCTCACAAGTTGCGACTTCGTATCGAGTGCCAACATTAGTCGCTTCTTAGATTTTCAGTTTGCTTTCACCCACTAACTAAATTGAGATGCAAAATCTTTCACCTACTTCAGGTTTCTTTCTTTCTTTCTTTCTTTCTTTCTTTTTCCACTGACTACATAATACATTGCATCCCACTCTAGCACTTCCTTCATAAGTATGCGCCACGAGGCCCAGTTTTCTTCCCCACTTCTCAAGTTGTTGCTTCTCTTCACTCATATTTTGCAATTCTCGTACATATTATATCTTGAGACAAGTAGGTACGAATTATCTTTCGCGTCTGGTCCGTCTCATGCTCGCGACCGTTACAAAGGTTTCGGTTATTTTTTCTGTGCGAGATCGCACGCTTTGTTACAATAAGAGTTCAACCAACCACGCTTTGCTACCATGATGATCTCCGTTATAAACATCTATAATCGTTCATATTAACGAAATCACTGTCACACTATTTAACGTCTGTGCCACACGTCTGTACGTCTCACAGGTCACTAAAACTGCACCTCGCAGCAACAGAGGCAGTCGTCACGTCGACTGCTAGAGAGCATTCATAGCGAGGTGTCCAGGCACTTTCAAAGCAAACACTTCATACCACTCACAAACGTTTACAGGCGTCAATTGTTTTTTCGGAATGTAGGACTCACAAAACAGAGATTATGGCTGGTGTTAGAGGATTTTTTTTCTTAATTTAGGAAATTGATTTATCCACTTTATGTGGGCCCGGTACTGAATTTTTACTGCCGAAAATCCGCGTTTTTTTCGCGCAGAATTACATAGCTTTCCGTATACTACCTATATAACTCCGTATATACGGGATACTAATAATCCATTACGGTGGATTACTTCAGATCGATTAATCTATACGTATTGATCAATGTAAATTGGTTAAATTTAATCGATTTTTTTAAATGTCCCATTCCTAATGTGGATTGCGAATTAACCCTTGACCGTTTCTGGAGGTAGTTTGGGAACTTTAAAATTGTTACATAACTTAAAACATTTAGCTCTTTATACATTATGATTGAAATATTCTCCAAATCTTTCATTGCCTCGAGTTCACAGGGTCAACTCTGCCTGAAGACCCATTTGTCTCAACAACCCCAACCCGTGCTTGCAAGAAATATCTGAAAAGTTTCATGTATTTTAGAATAAAAATGCAATTGTTTAAGTAGAATGAATTGCGAACTCCTGCGCCTCTGAGATAACGATGGATGTGTTATTAATATATTATTTTATTTCCTGTGATAGAACTATTTCTACTGAGATGTGTGGTCAAGGATACACTTTTGTGAACCTATTTGAAGTTGGAGCACACCAAAATAGAGGAACATATAATGCAGTATTGGTTGATCACCGTGGGAGCATTTACAGGTAATATTAATCATCACTATTATATTTTCTTTGTTAACTTATAAGGAATGGTGAAAGTAAAGCCGCATAGAGCTCACATGTCTGAAACTTGGTCAAAACGTTTGAAAAATTATAGTGACAAGTGAATACGGAACGAATCAAAAGGTAAATTTTGTAACAGACGCTTTGTAAAACGGCACAAGACTTTTTCCTACTAGTTAGTTCCTCTCTTTTGAGTCGGAGTTTAAATAATGTTTGGTTTTGCGTCGCCCGTTTCGTGGCTGCCATCTGCGCCTAAGGACCATAACAGGGCCATTGTTGGTAACACCTCCCCTGGGGATAATTCTCGGTTAAGAGCCTCATTTTCCCGAATATCAAGCCGAAGTATCCCCTAAGCACATCTCGATGGTGTACTATTACAAATGTCCATGGTAGTTTGTGGTAACTCTGCTGTTACTATTGTTCTGAGCGTGGGGAGCAAATTTCTCAAGTTCGCACACAGTTAACGGCCAGGGCGAGGGAATAAGGAAGTAATAGGGTGTATGGGTATTTCGCAAGGGACTGGTATTACTCCCATGACACAAACACTACTGAAAACATTCGTCTTTCTGAAACTATTCGTGCCTTTATACTTGGATTAAAACGGTAGGTCCTTTCAAGGCCACGAGCTGAAGAGAGAGGTCACTGACGTCCGAATTGGAAGCAATTCCAAAAATTTATGTCGTAACGAGTCTCGCGATTGGATGACATTAACCCCTCTCCAGCCAGCTCGTATCTTTGAAAGGACTATAAGTTTTAATCGAAGACTGTCCACAGGGCTGAGCGTCCCTTTTCCAAGAGTCTTTGCGAGAGGCCCACTGACTTTTCGAAAGTTGTAAAGTGTAAAATAATTATTATACTCATAAGACAGTGTTGACCTTTTTGATGCATACATGGCGTTTAATGTGCTTTGCAACCCTAAATCCCTTGATGCGAGATCTTGTGATGTTTCAAGAAAATTAATGATTAATTGAAGCATTTGTGTTCACAGCGGCTTAGCTTCAGTAAGTGTTACTCCAGGCAAAACTAATGGTATCATCCCCTAAATTAAATATAAAATTAACTATTACTGAATAGTAAATTATTTAATAAAAATTCAAGTATACATATGATTTTGTTAGTATTATCTCTTATTTCCACTAATTTCCACTTATTTCCAGTAAGTTCAAATAATTGTTCAAATCGAAACCCTCTTTACAACTGAAGAACCCATCGAGGTGGGTTTGTTTACGTCCTGACGGGGGAATGCAGAGAGGGCTCTCAAGTATTGCTTTCTTTCACCTTTTTCTTTCATCTTTTATCTTTCCCCAAGTGTTTCTTTTCCCCCTTCTGTTTCACTGCCCCCACCTCGCATGCTGAACGCTCACCCATGTGTTTGGCGTGTATGTGTAACGTATTAGCCAGCGTGCCTCATGGCATCTATTTGGGGACGCTTGGTTGCGGATTAGTCTCGCCACAGGAAGAAGGGTTTTTCCGTAAAGGGAAGAACGCGGAGACGGGAGGCACAAGGCTTTGGGTGTCTTCCGGCTTATAGAAGCTTTTCACTGTTATAACAAGCGAGGGGGTGGCGTGACGTAGGAGGTCACGTGGGCCTCGCCTATATAACAGAGTGTACGGAGCCAGTAGGCAGGTTCTGGAGACGGTGGGAGAACCTCGTGCGTGTGCACAAAACTTGGCGCCAAGACGGTGCATATGCGAGCCAGGCTCGCGAGGCTGGAGTCATTAGTTGACGAAGCCTGCGGACTTTATGTCCTTGGGTGACTGCGGTCACGGGGGAGCGATGCTGTGTGCGTGCTCCGAGGTGAAGAGTGGTTGAGTGCCACGATTCACGCCGATTCTCAATCGGATAAGATCGCTCCTGCGATCGAGGCAAACCAGCCGTTGGTGCGCCAGAACGGACTTTGTGTCCCAGCGTGACATCCGGTCACGGAAGCTAGGCTTGGTGCGCGCTTCAAAAGTAGGAGTGGCGAATGCCACAATCAAAACCATCTTCAATCGGGTTTTGGATCGCTCCCGCGATCAGGGGATAGTAGGTCTATCAGAGCTAGGCTGTAAGTAAATTATTAAGTGTATATATTTGTTTTGTTTCTTTGTTAATAAATATATTGTTATACGAAAGCTCTGTGTCTGTGGTCGCTGTGAGTATCCATGACGTCACACATGGTGACCCGTGTCAGAGAGAATGTGTCTCCTGACAGTTGAGGGACTTGTTTGTTTCCCAACTACTCTCCTTGCGCGACGATCTGCTTTGCACCTAGGGATGCGTGGTTCGCGTATTTTGGGGAACATTCCTTGTAGGTTTCAATACACTTGGTTTGGGCTTGGACTCTTCTAGACGAGCAGTCGCTAACCCACTCCCGACCAATAAGCTCGGACTTGTACTGAATTCAATGGTGAGCGGGGGATCCACGGCGGGGCAGCGCTGTTTCATCCCCCCACTATATCTGCGATGTCAATTCTGGCACCCCAGTGGTGTCCCCTTGTTGAGCTGCATTGTGTATGGGGAGCACGGAGATGAATTTCTATCCATACCAAATAACTTCCGCAAGGGAGAGGCGATATGCGGAACGAACTAATGATTTAAATAGTTTCTTTTTAAAAGATGACAGACTGAAAAGGCCTTGTTTCCTTATGGTATGCACCGAGGAAAACAAAGCTTAAAAACGTAAATGGTGTCCGTCTGGCGCGAGCCATAGAGGGAAGCTCCAAGCGGTCGTGCGACAGAGGAAGGGAATGATTCTATTTGAAGCACGCACCGATGAGCAAATTGAAAAAAATCCTAAAAACAAAGCAGATCGTCTGCCTCTAGGTGCTTGCGACGACTCGCCCAACCATGAATCTTTGCAAAGGAATGGTTATCCACGAAAACTTTGGAGAGTGAAGATTTTCTTTCCTTTACGTCAGGGCGTCACCGAAGTGTATAGGATCAAAAGGAAGAACCAGGGGAAAGTGGTCCTCACGTCGACCCTGATCCTTACGTTTGAGAGTTCCTCTACAACCTTTCATAATGTGACCAAGGAAAAAGGCTATGGAAGAAATAATTCCCTACAATGACTCTCGTGGAATTTCAACGGCTTTCGTGCACGTTCAGATGATTTGAGATTTTTTATCGCCTTAGATCTATAACCTACCTTCAGGAAACTTATCTTCCCATCATGCACTCTGTCTTCGCGGTTTTAGCACCTGGTTTGATCAAGACGACGGACTTATTGCTCACGGTTGTGTCGCGTTACTTATCCGCGACTCCCTGTTCTCTGAGGAACAAAGCGTTCGAACCTACACACTGTTTACGTTGTTTCACACCGTATGCCTTCTGATACACCTACCGCCCTTTTCGCTGACTGTGTGCAATATATGCATTCCTCCTAGCCAAGCCGTGTCACTAGAACTTGAAAATGTGTTTTCTCTGTTGCCTTCCCCTTTTCTTATTGTGAGGGATTTGTAATGCCCACAGTCCTGCCCAAGAGATAATATACTTAAAAATAGTATTGACAACCAGAACAATTCTTCTGAATATTGGCGAAAGCACACATTTTTGCGTGTATTCAAACACTTTCTCGTCCGTAGATCTGGCTCTCTGCAGTACATCTCTCTCCATCTTTGTGTCCTTGGTGACCTGCATGGCAGTGACCACTTCCCCATTCAGATCAATCTCGATATTCCGGACCAAAACGTTACCCGTCCTCGCTGGCTAATCCACCGAGCTGAGTGGGAAACATTCGAGAACGAAATGCAGATATCGGAAAACTGCCCAAACAATATCGATGCTATGGTTTCCCGTTTTACGGATGCCGTTCTTCATGCAGCGTCAATTACCATCCCAAAGTCGTCGGGTCACCCACGACATCCGTGCCGTATGCTGATTGTCCACCTCGGGGCGTGATCGGAAGCGGACACTGATAATGTTTAGTACAAATCTTCTGAGCTTCCCAACCATGGATAATCTGATAAATTATATAAGAGCCCGAGCGAGAGCTAAATTGGCCATACAGAAAAGTAAGATCGCGTCTTGGAGAGCGTATATTTCATCCCTCTCTTGCCGTACACCCCCTAAAGTAGTGAGGCGAAACGTTCGAGAGATCAGAGGAAAGCTTCCTTTGCCGCCTGTCTTAGGGATTATGGTTAATGGAAATTTCGCCTCACGAGAAGATATAGTTGAAGAATTGGCCTCTCACTAGGAACATACCTACAGTTCCGTACACTACCCTCCAGGTTTTCTGAACATAAAACAAGAATAAAGAACTGCAGATTAGATTTGAGTCGCGTGGAGAAAGATTGCAATGTTCCTTTCTTCATTGATGAATGTTACCTTTGCCCTCGCTTGAGCGAAGTATTCTGCTCCAGGACCAGACCAGATACATAAACAAATGTTTAAACACCTACCGGTAAACACTGGGTTGTTTTCTCCTCCCCAGTTTCAACCTGATTTGGGATGAGCATTCCATACCAAGGATTTGGTGTGAATCCATTGTTATTCCAATCCCGAAAGAAGGAAAGGACATGCCAATCCCCTCAAGTTACCGCTCAATCTCGCTCACAAGCTGTGTGTGCAAGCTTTTAGAACGAATGGTAAAGACACGTCTAGCCTGGCTCCGGAACAAAGGAATCTAGTAACACATTTTCAGTGTGGTTGAAGGTAGCAGAGGTCAACCTCGGATCATTTAATCACACAGATCTCCACTTTCGTGCTACAACACTGTGGCAATGTTTTTCGACTTAGAGAAAGCGTATGACATCAGCTGGAGGTACGGCATTCTTCTCGCCTTATATTCTTGGAGCCTTAGGGGACGGCTCTCTTTGTTTCTAGTAGATTTTCTTTCATCAAGATCTTTCCGCGTCCTCCTTGATGTCACGTAATCCTTAAGTAAGCAGTTAGAAAACTGTCTTCCTCGTGGATCGGTTTTGAGTGTCACTCTGTTTGCCATTGCTATCAATAGTACCGCATCAGTAATTCGAGAGGCTGTGAAAGCATAGCTCTTCGTTGAAGATTGCCATATTTTGCTCCTCAAAGAGCCTTCTTGTCCTCAACAAACTGCAACAATGGAGCGATGGACCTCGATTCAAGTACTCCACCTCAAACTTCAGTTGCATGGGCTTCTCCAAAATCACCTCCATAATTATCCTGTCCTTTTTCTTTGGAATCATCAACTTCCCTTGGTCGAATCATCCACTTTCCTAGGACTGACGTTCGACAAGTGTTTAACATGCGAAATCATATTCGAAACGTGAAAAGCCGATGTGTACCACCAGTGAACCTCCTACGCAACCTTACTGGTAGATCATGGGGCGTTGACCAAGTATGTGTTTTGCGCCTATATAAAACCATCATCCGTCCTATCTTAGATTATGGGTGTATTGTTTATGTCATCGCCCCCCCCCCATTCATTGATTAACATACCCAATGCCGGTATGCGGATCAGCACAGACACCGCACGAGTCAAAAACCTCGCTCGAATCTATCTACTGCTTCTTTGCTTGTGGCACTGACAATCATCCTACACCAAATTCATAATTTATTCGTATGTCGTTATAATTTGGTTTTTTGGTGGATCCCTGGCTTTATTGGGGTAATAGGAAATGAAATTGCTGACCAGGCAGCAAAGCTCGACACGAAGAAAATTGAGGTAGACATCCTCACAGTCCCAACAAATGATACCTAGCTGTTTATCAAACGCTGTATTCTCAGTGCATTGCAAACAGAGTGGCAGAACTATATTTTAAACTCACGAGAATCAAGGATTCCATAAAGCCTTGGCCATCCTCATCCCGTGGGTCTAGGCGCGAGGAGATAATTCTGACACGCCTGCGGATCGGTTACTGCCATTTCTCCCACGGGCATCTCCGCGTAGACCCATCCCCTCCTTGCGATAGTTGCGAGACGAATCTTACCTTGCAGCATGTTCTTCTGCACTATTTTGAGGTAAGAGACAGTCTGCCCGTCCGTCCGACTGTCTTTCCGTCGGACTGCCTGCCTGTCTGTCCGCCCGTCTGTGTCTCTGTGCCGCCTCTCCTTCCGTCCATCTATTCGACTGGCCATACCTACGTTCGTCTGCCTGTCTATGCCCGTCCGATTTTGATTGCCATTCATTAATTTGGGGGGTACTTTACATGAAGCCCTTGGGACATTTTCAAAGTTTTCTCAAAAGGTCTAATTTTCACTGTTAACTCTAAATGTTAGAAAATTGCGTAACTTTGAAATATTTTTTCTTCCTACTACTAGAAAATGAGATAGAGATTTTTCTTTGAAATGAATTTTCTTTGTCATGAATTTTTTTTTTTTTTTGAAAATTTTAGTAGGTATTTCACAATATTGCAAAAAATAGTGTAATTAAAAATATCAAAAAATCACTCTAATTTTTTTCTCTCACAATTTTAATATTTATATTATCAGCCTTTTGTATACATTATTGAATTTGAGTGCACATGCTTCAAATTATATCATCTCGTAAACTGTACAGTTTTCTGTGAAAATTGAGTTCATGCATTTTCAGGAATGCTCAAACCATATTTGCTCTAAAAATGACTCCAAAATTTTATTTATAGTTTTTAAATGGGTAGTGTAGAAAGTACTAAACAACGTGGCATTAATGCCACTTTGAATTATTCTTTTATTTTTTTCAAAAAATTACAGAAATGTATTTTTATTATTATTATTATTATTATTATTATTATTATTATTATTATTATTATTATTATCTCCCACAAGGATAATATTTGTATTTGCAGCTATTAGTAAACATAATTTCATATGTGAGTACAAGTCCTTCAAATGCTTTCCAATGACGTTTCTCAAAATTTCAAAAGTTTTCCATGAAAAAAAGTTTCTATGAAATTTCACATTCACAGAGATACTTAAGCAACATTTTCTTAAAAATCGGATCCAAATTTTGTCAACTAAAATTTCCATGTGGTACAAGGTTATACTCTTGTGTATTATTCTTAAAGTCGTATTTCAGTTCTGCCGTTAGGGGACCAAACTATTGGAAAACTGAAAAAATTTAATTTGGGTAGTGATAGATGGCATCTAGGTAGAGAGTGGGACAAAATTGAAATCCTAACCCAAAGCAAATAAATTAGAAAACGAACTAGTATGACAAAATCTGTGCCATTGTGTGCCACCACTACTTATATTTTTCTTCTCTTTGAGAAGTCTTTACCTCCTCATCAATTGAGATTGTATGTTTCTTTCATGAATGGAAAACTGCCATTTATGTATTCATGAAAAATGAACTGTCTATTATTATCCTCATCTCTTGCAGGATTTCGTGGCATGAAAATCCTCATATGAATAAAAATGTAGATGTTGCCGTACAGATCTTGAAAGATGGAAAAGAAAATAACAAGGTAAACATAATAATATCGTAATAGAAAAATTGATTTAGTGCCAAGCTGCTGTAGTATGACTCTTGAAGGTTGTATACATCGGTCAGGTGCATACAATGGCAGAGGGGACCTCCAAAATACTCATGAAAAGAAGTGCGTAAAGGCAAAAGTACAAAAATAATTGAAACCCAATAGATTCCAATGACATAAACCAATTGTTAGGTAAGTCAGCTAATTATTTGTGCTAAATTCTGAAAGACAAATAAATTACATAAAAATCTTAAAATAGTCTTGGCCGAAATATGCTCTTTTTTAATCAAGGCAATTTGTCTAGGAAGAAGCTAGACGAGACCTCACCTGGGACCCCACTGGCTGATAATACTGGGATGCACTACTGACTAACTGTTTAATTATACCATCTCTGACCTTGTAGCATCCATATACAAGATTGAGTTAGACCAAAAAATAAAAAATAAAAGTATCTTAAAAAGGGGATGCGTGATTTCATGATTGAGTCGTTCTATGTCAAATCACTACTTACAAAACATTACTATTTTTTAGTGACTTGAAACTTGTTTTATGAGATGTAGGGTAGAAAAAAGATGACATATATTTTTCGTTTGATCCCTCTCCTTTCAGAAATATTACCAATGATTTTTTTCAGAAGAATCCTGTGTGCGTTAACATTTATTGCAGGAATATTGCTTCTTTCAGAAAACTATAATTAAACCTAGAAGGATGTTCTTTCATGTGATTTAAATATATTTTTTGGAAAAAATATTATGTAAATAATTAAAATATATTTTAATTTTAAAATGAAAATTTTCACATTAGGCTGTCGTTTGAAATAATTTAAAAACTACTCGTGCCTTTCTACACTCATATTGTATATATCTGCCAAATTTCTAAGTGAGACACAAAGTATCAAGAATTTCAGGCCATTCACCCACCTGACTGGCTAGCTGGCTGCTGGCACCAATGACATCACCCAAACATCAAATGGCAATGATATAATGCCCAAACATGAAGCATGCTTGAGACTTGTCTTATATTATACTTATATTACATTTTATTTCATGTTATGACTTGCAGCGTCATGCACACAGTCACATGTGGAAGGGTTCTGATGAAATTCTACCCTTAAATTTATTTAATTACACAAACCAAAGGCATAAGCCAAACTTATACAAATTTTATTATCAAATGCATTACAATTAGTTAAATTTATTTAAGAAAGATCTCGCAAGTTTTTCAAATTCATTGATACTAGTCTTAAAGAGTTTGCACACATGGAAGAGGAACATCAGAAAGTGTGTACGTAAACATGATTAGGTATCTCTTTTGATGAAAACTCATTAGCATACATTTATATGCATTGAGGTACACTCCATTAAGTAAGCACCATTGAAATAAAATATAAACAGTGAGGGACCCAAGTGGGAACCCTGAGGTACACTAGGAGTAGCTTCAATTTTATTAGAATAAATCACTTATACTTCATATATTGTTTACGATTTGTCAAATAATCAATCAATTTAAAACAAGATATTTATACTTTTGAGTTTCAGCATGTTTAATAGTAACTGTAACAAAAATTAATTGCTTTTACAAAAACCTTATAATTAGTGTCAACTTTGTTTCCATTTTCCATTGCTGTAAACAAGTAATGACTATTATTCAACAAGTTAGTTTTAACAGTTTTCCCCTGTTCAAAGCTGCTCTCTCAAAATTTGTGGATAAATGAAATGTTTATTATGAGCATGTATGTAAATATTTCCAGCTGACAAAAATACAATTATTATAATAAAAAAATTACAACTTGTATTATAAATGCATTATGATTGATTGACATTAGAATTATGTATTCTGTTTGTTGTTAAGATAATACCTTGACTCAAAATACTAGTTTGTGTTGTGTCTTCGTTGTGCATCATTTTTAACATCTCTGGGTACATATTGTGACTTGAAAGGCACTTTTTGGAAGCAGGATATTGTATACTAATTTTTTCAAAGATTATTTTTGATTAGATTAAACATAAAACAGATGACTCCAGTTATAGTGAACTTCTAGGGACTAACCTTTTTGGTTCACTATATCTTAGGATAACAAAATTAAATAGAATATTAGTGGCATGAGGTCATCAGTAAGGTTCCCATTCCACTGTGTTCACCTCAGGTGAGACTTCTTCAATTATGACCTTTGAACAATATTTTTTTGAAGTTGCCTAGAGTTGGAATTTGTGGTTCTGTGGAGATATATTATGTTCCAGGAGGGAATTAATTTCCAGGTCATTTCATTTTCTATAACCAAGATTTAGGTTCACTATAACCGAATCTTCTTATGCTTATTTATAATGTAAGTGAAACGAGACCAGTAACTTTAGTTCACCAAGGGTTCAATATATTAACCAAGGGGTCCGAGTTCATTACAACTGGAGTCAACTGTATACCTAGGTGTTTATTTGTATTTTTCTGGTGCTAATAAATATATTTTTAGATTACTTTTTATTTGTTAAGTGGAGAATGATACTTGTAAGAAGAAATGTTCATGTTCTTTTCTGTTAACAGGTATCTTCTGCGATTTTAACACCAGGAACTGAGTGGACTATTGCATGTCTTGGGTCAAATCTCACTCTTTGGTCTGGAACTTCAGAGAATATTTGTAATTTTGCTGACTATGATTTGAAAGAATGTGTTAAAGCTCAAATGTGGAAAGAGAAGTAATATAAAATAAGATAATCATTGTAGCCTTCATGAATGGATAAATATATAAACTTCATTGTCTACAGTGTCTTACTTTTAATTTTGTTGTAGATTTTTTGTGTGTTTGACTTCTGAAGGAGAACTTGCTCTGATGTGTGCAAAAACATTGCTTTGTTGTACTACATGGCATAAGTTCACTGTTCAAGACTTCATTATTGTGAAAGATGAGAATGATTCACATAAAGAAAATATTGCACTACTTTCTGCATTAAATAGTTCATCAAAGTGCATTACTATATTATCATTACCAGGTAATTTTTCTTGTTGAAAATTGCAAGGAAGCAGATGTTGCCTCCAGTTAGTAACTGGGGGGAGGGGGAGGAGGATTTGTGGAGTAAAACCATTTGCTTTTCATCTCTTGAGACCCTTGTTCAATCTCCTGACAATCCAAGTGGAATTTATGGTAGACAAAGCAAGCTCTCGCATGTTTACTCAGGGTTTTGTCATTTCCCCTTTTTCTCACTATCATCTATTCATTATGTCATCACTCAGGGCTCAATGACCTCAACAGTTCCAGGGTCCCCTAAACCCCAATAAAAAGTAAGTAAATAATAGTCAGTGTGTGCTTTTATATATGTAAGGAAGAGTTACAAGCAACAGGTTGCAATTTTATATTTGTATTTCTTTACCAAATTTTATTCATTCTCATAAAAGTATAAGGTAAAATCTGCAAACACTTCTTGAGAAAATTAAAAATCATTTTAATTGATTTTTAGTTTTGCATTCCATGAAGTAATATTCCACATTTCATGTTTCGATTTTGAATTCTTATATTTATTCTAGTGATACAGAATTATCGTCACCTATGTTTTAACACATACCAAATTTTGTTTCTATTCTGATTGAAACAGGCCTGTTTTTAGAAGAGTGTCATCTGTCCTGGCAATATGTTATATTAGATTTGTTGCATTTTATAGAAATGAAGGAATCATTTTGAAAACTTACTGTATTTCAGTTTCTAAGCTAACCTGTATCCAAACTTGAAAATGCTGATCTCTGAAATTTCATTCCAGAAGCTTTTTTATCCTGGAACACTTTTTCAAAAATGAATTTCAAAATCGTAATAGTTTTTAAATAAACAGTTGTTAACTATTTTAATACAGTCAGCCTTGTAGATTAGCTTGTGCCATTACTTTCATTTCCTTCAATTCAGAAGCAAACAGTCATAATGTTCAGTTACATTTTATGAGAATGCTGATGAGGTATTGTTGACAGTATTAAAGGATGAAATAATTGCGGTTATCTTTGTTGACTTGGATTTATTCAGAGAGCCAGCTTTAGATGGCCTTGGTCTCATCATTTGAATATCATTTTTGGATATTGAGTTTCAGACACATTGATTTGGCCATATCCACAGCTCTAGAGGCGGCCTTAGTCTGGGGATTAGCCGAAACTGAAACAATTTGGCACAATATGCATTTTTGCACATTTTAATAGAAACCGGATATTTAGCAAAAATGCTAATTGTGTAAGTTTATATCAATGTTTCAGCTAATCTCCATACTAAGACCATCTCTAGAACTGTGAATGTGGCCAAATCACTGTGGTTGAAATTCAAGATCTAAAAATGGTAAAATTAGTTATGAATGCGAAGCCATCATAAACCATTTCTGAATAACTCTTTAAGTTGGTAATCATGACTTCAATTATTTCATTCTTTAATAATGCCAGCAATACCTCATCAGCATACCCATGAAATGATGTAACTGATGTGCAGTCATGTTGATTGTTTACTTCACAATTTACATGACTTGGTTATTATATAATAGTGTTATGAATTTTGGAAATTACATATCCTTCATTCAATGGAGCTGCGACCTCCAGTTTGTTGGGGAACCAACTGCCACTTATGTATTAGATCAGAGTTCCCTACTTGTTTTATAATCTGAATTCTATGAATAGCTGGACTCTTTCCATAGGACAGTAGAATCTTCTGATTTTTCTCTCCTCTCTAAATAGCATGTTCATGACATTTCTGTTGTAATGCAAGATTGATAATTGCAAACATTCATTAATGTACTGTCACTCCATATTTATATTCAAAATTTATTATTTAAATTTTTTTTCTTTTTTCAGAATTGGAAATTAAGCATGAAGTGAAAATATCTGAAATGTCATGGTTTATATCTTCTCCATTTACAGTCATGTGCATTGAAGGATACTCTTCTTCTGACAATGTTGTAAAATTGAAAATCATTATATTGTCAAAATGCCATCCTCGGCAGAGGTGAACATCTACTCATTTTGTATTCCAATAGTGTGAAACTACTTACAATTACTCATAAAAGAAAATTATTTTAGTTTTTTAATTATTTCATTTTTGTGTTTGTTAGATTGCAGTTGTGTTTGAAAGAACATAAATTTGATGAAGCTGAAGCTTTAGCAAGACAATTTGATCTTGATGTAGAAATTGTTTTTAAGGAGAAAGCTTCATTTTTTGTAAAGACTTTGTCTTCACAAATTGATCGTCCACTTTTCAACGACTTGATTCATACTTTAGATCAGATATCAGATATCCAATTTGTTACTTCATTTTGTGCAGAGCAATGTGTATGTCAAATGCGTGATATGAAAAGCATGTTAAGATATGCCCTGAAGAGGATACAAACACTTAAGGTATTATTAGGATTCCGAAAAAGTTTGTTTTTGTATCTGCCCCAAAGCCTAAAAGAAACTTAAGTGTTTAAATGTACTATGATGGGATGAAGGAAATGAATTATTGCCAAGAATTTCTCCTATCTAAATTGAATTTGTTTTTAAATAATATTTATTAATTACAAATTATATAAAAATAATTATTACATGAGAATAACTCTGTGTGCATACCGGCTCATGAACCAGCTAATTTTATATTATGATAATATATTATATATAGTGTAGTAAAATCAGGACCTTCCAACTCCTTTTGAAATTGTAGACAAAGCTCAAGTGTGCTAGCGTCGTCCAGTGGAGCTTTGTCATACGTTCGCCAATATGGCATGATAAAAATTGGACATATGTATAGGAAGTATGAAATGCATAAAAATCAAGTATTTATAATGATCTTTACTGGAAAATACATATGCGAGCCTCGGTGCCGTCTTTTCTACCAGGTGCTCCTACTTGTCTTGCCAGACCACTCCTGGCCCATACGTCCTTACAATGTCATTGGTCTTTTAGTTCCTGCAAAAAGTGTGTGTGTAGGGTGTGTCACAAGTGTCTCCTCTGGGAGTGTGAAGTCTCTGAGTAGAATAATTAGAGATAATTACACTTTACAATGCACCACATGTTCACAGCTGTAACTTTTGAAAATTACATAGGAATATGTTCCCTTTTTCATAATTGCAGTCTACTGTTGCCAAAAATTCTTAATATGAAGTAATTGTTATTAATGACGTTTGTAAAGCAACTGGGCATGTATTGGGAGATCGATGTTTGATGATGAGTATTTTCTTAATCAAATACTTTTTGGTCATTTCTTGAAGTAGTTTAGAAATAAAATGAAGTGTAAAAAGAAAGGGAATTTAGAGAAGATATGACAAATCACACTTACGTTTTATAAATATTAATATTTCATGCAAAAATGTGTCTAAATTTGGCATATTGTACAACAAATGCAAATGTGCCTCATATGCATAATGGTGTGTTTCTTGACATTAAAATTTTCAAGTTATGGACATCTTGACTAAGTGCTTAACTTAAAAAACTTTATTCTGGGCCCCTAAAAACATTTTTTTTTTCCCGACACCAGATGGTTCAGCTTAGTTCTTTTTGTCATAATCTACAAAATGAATCCCTTTTCTGGTAATGAAGGTGCAAGTTTAGTATCTCCAAAAAATGAAAAATCAAAGTAACGATTTAATCTTTATTTTACTTTATATAGTGCATTAAGTAGCTCTTGCTAAAATGTTGTTTCTGCATTAATAATTAATATTAATCTTTTGTCTTGTAGAAACCGTTGCCTGCTGATATAGAGCAGATATATTTGAAAATTTCTACAAAATTCCGTCATCTACAAACTATTTCTTTAGTGAAGGATGACATTTCATTTAATCATATGAAATGGAGAAACATTCTGGATATTGATTGGTTGAAGGCACTCTTCACAGCTCTTTCAGATGTTAGTTCATCTTGCTTTCTTTAATAATCTTGTAATCAGGAATGAATGCCATTTACATAGTATTTTGATTTTTGTCCAGGGTAATATAGAAAAGGCCAAATATATTTGGTTGAGGCATTTGCAAGATGGACAGATTATAAAAGAGGAAGAAATTAAGCAACTGATTGTATCTATTTCACCATCTGCAAAACTGAGTGAAGTTCTAAAGTGGCTGCAATTAATAATACCATACATACAACAATATGCACCAGACATTATGGAATGTCTTGTAAAATGGGTGGTGTATAGATCTAAGTAAGAAACAATAATGATTCCCTAATTATTCAAGTTGTTTCAAGAACTGATCATAAAACCACGATTTTACTATTTTTAAAAGTACCTCTATGTAGCATTTACATGAGATATCCCTTAAATTGCAAACGCTAGAAAATATTAGCTTTAAATTTTAGTGAAATTGCATTAATGATAGGAAAAACAAGGCTACTATTCTAATCAGAGAATAAAACAAGGTCTTTTAAAGATCTAGATAACAACACTGCACATTTCTCACTATTAGTGGAATCAACTGCAAAGCAGTATAGAGAAGAGAATTTTTTTGTAGATTTAGTAAATCATGTTGCATTGGAATTGGATTCTAACAAACTTAGTTGATAGTTTTACCACTTTAATTTTCTTCACTAAATTATTCATAACTTTTGCTAATTTTCTAAGATTGATGGAGAACGATGAACAATGGCCTTGGTCAGCAATAAATTTTGTCGAAGAATATTATGCATTAACAAAAAAAATTGACAAGATGGAAGAAGATAAACCATCTTGTTCTTATGGACATAATCATAAGTATTTACTGTCATTTTTATCTGATCTTCGGAGTATAGAATCGTTAAGAAAAAATTATGGAATAAAAATACAGTTGCAGGATTTCTTACAAGTAAGCTATTTTACTGTAGTTTTCCCATCTTTTTACCCTCTGTACATACAATTGTAAATATAATCATTTGCTTATGGACATTTTGTAGGAGAATAAATTGGAAGTAGCAAAGAATATTTTGAAAAAGGTAACTCATCACGATGTGGACAGAATGTTGAATGGTTATATGAAGAATTTTATTGAAAAGCACAACTTGTCAATAGATTCAGTAGTGTTACACTTCATTGAGAAATTATTGACTGCATTTAGTGATCATTGGATTCACCTGTCAGTTTCTCACTGGGAACCTGTGATGATGACATGCATTTCTTATGTTCAGTCAGTGCAGGTGAGAATTTGTTTATTCTTTGTTTTTATGCAATCACTAACATTATGTATAACTTGAGGGGACACAAACTCATCTGATTATATTGAAATAAATTTACTTGCATGAAGGACCAGATAAATTGTCATACCACATCCACATATTTGGCAATGTATGTGTCAAACTCACACATCAAGCTTGTGTGCACATCTACAGCATACAACTGCACAACCAAAAGATTGCTGCTGAGATAAAAACATTATTTTGCAGACAATTTAAATATGTTATAAAGATTCGGTTCAGTTCAGAATAAATTAGTCCATCATTTTTCAGTTATATCTTCAGAAATTATTAAAATTTATTCTTAAATTTCAGTGTCCCATCAATAAATTTGTTAACTGATCTGCGAAAGTAAACAAATTATAAATAATGATACAATCTGTTTTTATTGCTAATTGGTTTCATTTTTTGCTAGTTTTCAAAGCACCCTTCTGTTAACCACTACCTTACAACCATTTGATGTAATTTAATTTAGGATATTAAGGGTATATAGAAATAAAAATTTTTGAAGGCTGTATACAAAAAAAATAAATTGATAAATATAAACAGACACGGTAACACATGGACAGACACATAAAAATAAAGGTCTGTCCTTTCTCACAGGTTGTATCTGGAACTTTTAGTTTATTTGATAATAACTACAGTGTTTGTAAAAACAATTTGTTATTGATTGCTGATTTTTTACAAGTCATCAACACGTGTAAGAATTGTTTATGATTTGGATTGACTGTCATTTTTGGTGTATTATGTATATCCCTATACATGTATACGGATGAACTTTTACAACCGTCAACATTTATCAATTTTAGTTATAGTCTGCAGTGTAGGCCACATGTATTAAATCAAAAATGCATTATCTCGTCAAATAAAATACCTTTCTCTCACCTTCTTGCTATGAGGTAATACCTTCCCCTTGTAGATAAATTATCTCTATATCATCTTATATAATAAATTCAAGTTAATTGTCATGTAGATTAGGTAGTGAATAAATGTTTGCAAATGAAATGTTTTATCAAATATCATAATGCAGAGCTTGTTAACATAAATGCACATTCAAGTGAATGTGTGCCACCTAATAAACTTCTTAACTATTGCCTCTTTTAAACGAAACATTTTTTTTAATACTACCATTATTAATGACCTATTACATTGCAAGAGATTGTTCATAAAGTTGCATTTTATGGCACATATGATGTATTAGCCATTAAGAATAATTTCCGTAATCACAAACTTCTATCAATTCCAGCAAGCAAGTCGGAAGTGGCATTTTGGAGCGGAGTTGCAAATTTGAAAATGTTTTGCTAATGCCAATTTTCAAAACGTGTACTTACACAATAAAGTTTAACATTATAAACTAATTCCATTATATACCTATTAACATGCTGGGGAGCTTATTTAGTTAACATTTATTTGCCAAAATGTTAAATCTACTATATTCAATTTATTTTGGAATTGGTGTAGGGAAGGGAGGGTGAAGTTGGGAAATTGATTCTAAAGAGTATGCGATTTATAGAGAAATGTCTTTATTTGATCAAATATATTATTTCATATGCACATACAGGAAAAAGTAAAATGTATATTGGCTGCACTAAAATTTGCAATAATACCATGGAGTGATGCTATGAAGAAATTAGCTGCTGAAGGATGTAAGTTAAATCATCCTCAAGTAATTGAAATAAAAAGATTGGAGAAATTAGCGGAAATCAAACTTGTTTTCAAGAAGTACAGACTTCCAACACATTTGCTTGGATCATCTAAAGTATGTTACCATTATGACTTCTACTACTACTATTATTATTCAAACATTATCTCTTTTCTCATAAGAGACAGCTTCAAAAATATTCATTTTTTATTTCAGCTCACTGTATTCATCTATTTGATGAGGAAAATAATTTTGGAAGCTCATGATGAGATGTTGAAAGATGCATTAATCATTGCTGAAGATTCAATAAAGTTTCAGGCAGAAGCATATTCTATGTGCTTGCATTACTACATTTCAGGGAAAATGTGCAATGAAGCACAGATCATTCTTGAAAATATGAAATCAGAAATTTTTGAAATCTGCACCCAAAGATTACTGTGTCGTATAGAAAGTGAGACTGATTTGGATGTTCTCTATGGCTACATTGATGTGATGAATTCAGTCTCATTTCGACTCTCCTCCGTTCTAAACATTAGAAAAGATATGGAATATATTAGAAACCTGCATCTCTTGAACTTGAACTTTGGATATAAAGTAACATTTCAGGATTTTTCTTGTGAAAAGAAACGAAATGATACATTTAAAATGTGGATAAAATCTTTAGTTATTTCTGGTCTAAATAAAGGTTTAGATGTTTATTCACTTTGCAAAGATGCAAAGTATATAGCACAGCTTTGTTTCTTTCCAAGTGGAGATGGATTTCTTGAAATTTTCAAACATTTATCAAAGGAAATATTTATCAGTGAAGGAAATCAAATTATGGAATTTCTAAATGCAAGAAGGTAAGCAACTTTCAAATGTGTCTTATTAATTTTTTTAAATGATATGTACTAAATATTATTTTTGTAACCAATCGAATACAAATACTTCTTTTTAGCTCACGCTATTCAAAAGGCAAATTACAATCTTTCAGTAAGGAGAAGCTTATGAAAATATCTGGAAGTAATCCGGATGCACTTGTTTGTTGTAAAATCATGACAGATTGTATTCTCAATGAAAGATTAAGTAAGTCTTAATGTTTTAAATCTGAGGATAAATTTAATCTTATTGGATCTTGATAATTTTATTGGCACAGGTATAAATGATCCATGGTTACATATATTGTCATGGATAAATCGGGCACGTGATATATCAAGAATGAGTGTATGTTACAAAACAGAACAGATAAATGATTTCAGACTACTAAATGTGTTTCAAGATTGTCCAGGGAGTGCTTGGAAACCAGAAGTTATCAGATTTGTGCAATGTATATTTCAATCTTTGGAGAATAATAATGTGAGTTACCTATTTTTTCTATTTACATTTTTATTATCACTTTAGAGTCTTCTATGGGGAAAAAATACTTAATTTTTTGCGATATATTTTAGAACTTCCTAAATTGCCCTTCCTACTTACCATTTTCTAAACAAAAAATTTGGACTATTTCATCATTAAAAAGAAAAGGAAGAGCAAAATTGTATATTTTAGGTTTGTCAATTCTACAAATTACTTTAATGGAGTTTGTTGTCAGTCTTACTATTTAACTTAAAATAAAAATTTCCTCTTAACTAGTCCAGGACACAAAAAAATGTTGCTTTGAATACAGTTCTTGATTGTATGGTCTTCTGTTGAAATGGTTTCAAGACAGCTTTGATATAATTCTCGCACATCCCTGTATAGTTTATAGATTTTTAGAAAGCTTATAAAATGGAGGTAATCTACTTCATCAAAATGTTTTTGGGCAGTAATAAATATGAGGCATGCTGGTAATTTGATCATTTAGTGATAAGTAGAGGTATTTTTGTATTTTTAAATTCCATAGTACTTTAGTAGGCTCTTTTACAAAATTAATACACAAAGGCTTGATAAGGAAAGAATCTTAACAAATTTGACAAGGGGGGGTGTAATTTTTGTTTATTTTGTATTTTTTTAAATTATTGTTATTTCCTTTTTTTTTCACTTCTTCCTTTTCTTACTTTCCTTTTACTCATTACTTAGCACAGTTATGTCTCACTCATCTTTACTTTTTATTATGCTGCTTTTTAGGTTTCTGCTGATACAACATTAGAACTCCAACATTTGTCCAAACAATTGCTGGAAGAAAGTGTCTCAATTATGTTGATAACATTATTAAACATGAGTAAATGTAGCATGGAATTAATTCATGCTCCAAATCAGAATTTAAATAATAGGGAGTTGAAGAAAATATTGGAGGACCAGCTTTCTATTATGGTGTGTGGTCAGATTTGTGACATTATCCTAGCTGGTGGAATATTGGTTTCTTTGGAAGAAACAGCTGCAGAATCCTGGCTGTGTGAATCGGTGATTAAATTCAGAACTCGTTTCCAAAAATTAGAAAGAATTGCTAAGCTAGGCATTCTCTTTTCTGCTAAGAATAACTTAAATTTTGTTTTGCAATTTAAATCTTTGAAGGCTGAATGTTTGTGGGCTAGATATTTGCGTAGATGTAACTTGTTTTGTGTAAAAACTCTTGTTGAAGATAAGAAAGAGATAGTGTCAAAATTGATTTTTGAAAAAGATCTTGAAACAGCTGAGGAATTTTCCAAAACCTTTGGTGTTAACTTTTCTGCACACTTGCCCAAATGTTTAGAATATGTTATACTTTCTTGGAAACCTGATTTTGAAATAAAACAAGGTAAAGAAGGACAACGTTCTGTACTTGTTAAGAATAATGAAGATGACATTTTAGACACCTGTTTGATCATTTCGGAAAAGATAGAGAAAAATGATTTGAAGCGATGTTTGCAAAATATCACAACAAAAATAAATTTTTATTATTATGAAATGTACTGTTGTGTCAATGAATTGAAAAAAAGAATATTACAAGAAGAATGCAGTCATCAGTTTCTTTTGCTGTTTTTGAGAAATTATCTTCGAAGCAGGTAAGTCATAGCTTTATTTTATTTTTAAACGATATCTCCATTGTAGGTTTAATTAAAATAATTTCATGAAGTCAACAAGTCATAATAATAATCATTTGTATTTCCATGAAATATTTTAACAGATCCAACCACATTTATAAACAAACTTGTTTTCTTGTCACGTGTGTACCTTTTTTAGTTGTTTTCAGTCTTACGACTTCCCACATGTTTTGTTTAATGAAGATAATTTTTTAAGAAATGGTAATATTATTAAGAGTTTTACATTAACAAGTTTGCATTATTATGAAATTCTCTGTCACAATTGTTGCTTAATTTCATAGAGTTGAATGCATTCTAAATGTTAGTATCCATTGCATAATAATACTTCACAAGCTTCAATGTCAATTCAATGAACTAGTGATGGATTGATACTCGATTATCCCTGTATAGTTTATAGATTTTTAGAAAGCTTATAAAATGGAGGTAATCTACTTCATCGAAATGTTTTTGGGCAGTAATAAATATGAGGCATGCTGATAATTTGATCATTTAGTGATAAGTAGATGTATTTTTGTATTTTTAAATTCCATAGTACTTTAGTAGGCTCTTTTACAAAATTAATACACAAAGGCTTGATAAGGAAAGAATCTTAACAAAAAAAACCAGCAACTGACTTATCACTGGCAACAAACTAGCTCAAAAAACACGCTTGAAACCAAATACGTGGTCTTAGTCCTGGAAAATACTCAACCAATCAGATTTGTATTTAAAAAAAAAAACATGCACACGTACACATATATTTCGATGTATAGTGTTGTGAGGAAATGTGTGAGAGTCTGGAAATTTTATACAAATTTCAACTTCAACTTGATTTTCTCCACAGAAACACTTTCCATTTTATTCTCTATGGTTTCAGTTATACCAAGCAGGCAAATTTACATTTTGGCAAGATAAATAGGCATTATTAAGCAGTATATGAGTCACCTTGATTGTGTAAAGTATTATATATTGAGTTTGCTATTAATATCAAGATAGGTGTTTCCATAAAAAACCAAGGGCTACTTACAACATTACAATTGCTTTTATTTTTATTATTGGACCGAGTTATTGTGCAATTTTGTTACAGTCCTATTCAGAAAGAAGAAAGAGATGAATGGTTTTTAAAATATCAATGTTCTAATGAACTCCCTGCTATTGCTGAATGGCGTCTGCCATTCTGGCCTAATAATATGGATAAAGTCATAAAGTCAGAATTGACATTAAATAATTATGAGCAATGGCTTCATATGACTGGCACTCTGAAAATGTCAGAAGACCTTATTCGAGTGATTGTGCTGAAGCAGTTATCAAATGTACGTATAATCGAATATAAATGCAAGAAGTCGTCTTGATTCGTTTTATTTACTGACTTTCCCTATACTTTTAAGTTTTGATCTGATGAAGATCACATACTCAACTGTAATACATTGAAAATAGTGTTACAGTGATTGTTTGAAATATAACATTGTTGAAATGCTTTGAATATTTGTGTACTATTTTGTAGATGCCTGAACTAACTTCAAATGATGCTGACTGGTGCATGGAAAATTTGGATGAAATTATAATTGATCAAATTTATAATTGCGCAGAAGGGATAGTTAATCAAGAATTGGCTTGTGCAGTATTGTACAGAGTGCTCGGATTTACAAAATGTGGTAAGCAGATTTAATAATGTTCAGTTACTAATTAAATAAATTGTGTCCAATCAAGCATTTCTAATGTTCCATTATTCCAGTCAGGTATTTCTATTCTCTGAAATCGTTGTTAAAGGTATGAACATGACCAATCTAGAGCAATACCAGCATAAAAAATCTATATAAATGAAAATCCATATAAAAATTGCCCCTCAACAGTTACCCTAAAGATGGGAGCAATTTTCTGTTAAGTGTTTGTCATTAAAGTTACAATTGTAAATACTCCCAGTGTCTGATAATATTACCATCATACATGAAGTAACGAATCTACTGATTTTTCTAACAGAAGGCTAGCTTCTTCTCAATACATATATTTCTAGAATAAGGTAGAAGTCCCACCCATCAAAACATTCAAATATGACCAAGAACATATCATTTTTCCTTCATGGTTTTAGTTAGACGTGATACACTCACCCAGCGAAGACAATAGACAGAAATATTTTGCCGTGGTTATCAGAAACATTGCATTGGATTTTAAATTTATTTAGTCAAAAAACAGTAAAAACTGTATGTGACGTAGAGGGGAGAAGATTATCTGCGCACGTTTTCTTGAGTTCCAGAATCCCTTCCCGTCATTTTAACTATAAATAGTTGAAAGATGAGTAAAAGTTTAACATAAATAAAAATAAATTTTAAAAATCTCAAGATCGTGCGAGATCGTGAATGGGCCTTAACGCGCGATTGAGTCTCCCGAAGTAATTACGAAACGCTTGCAACAACACTCCCCCTTGTAAATTCAAGAAGTGAAAATAAAGCATAGCTCAGTAAAACAATTGCATTCATTTTATTTGTGTTGTGTATTAAAATGTATGATAATTTAAGTCGGAAGTAGTTGTAAATTCTGAGTGCACCAAACAATAAGATTGGAGGCAAATTTTGAGTGAAGGACGGACGCGCGGGCGAGAAAATTCCTGATTACGCGCCGCCGCCGCTCCCGTTGTGGATGGCGCGTGGGCAAGATTCTACTGCGCCAATTTAATTGTATTCTACAAAATACTACAAATTGGTTATGAATATTTTTTTCGCAATTGTACATTTATGTAGAACGTAAATGTGCTGAATTCAAAGACAGAAGGCTGTTTTCGTTTAAGCATTGGAATTTAAAACTAGTGCTACAACAGCATGTACGTTCTCGCGATATTGCTAATAGCAATGTAATATTATAATATGGCATTTTTTCGAAGTCTTTAATTTCTACACTTTAATTACCATTTGAAAAATTCTTAAACAATCTAAGCAATCTAAGTGAAAATATATCTTTTAAATTCAAAGATTTAAACGAAAACCGCTTTCTGCCATTGAATTTAGTGTATCTACGTTCTACATAAATGTATCGACGACGCTTGATGCGTAATTTAGCCGTAAATAAAATTATTAGTGCATATTACCGCCAACGAACTGCTTCCGTCATTATCGCCTTATCAGTGAGGCGTTACAGCAAGGTCTTGCAACAATGACCGCTAATTCCTACGTTTTGCAAATTCATTGTTAATAACCCTGTCAAGAAAATGAAAGTGGATACAAAAATATCACAATTAAATATAATATTGTTATGTCAGAGGCGGATCCAGAGACAAATTTTGGGAGGAAAAATTCAAACATTTTTGTTGAATGTGTCACATAACGAATTTTACAAAAAAGGTCGCAGGTTACACGCAGCTCATGCTGCGATAGATTTTATACGTTTAGTGATCATCCGAAAATATTTTTGCTTGGAAGTTTCGTGACAAGTTGAAATTAATAGCTACTGAAAAATTTAGGGGGGGGGGTCCCTCCCCTTGGATCCCTGCCTGGTTATATTCGTCAAAGCTACTCTGTTTTTGCATGCGTTGCTCTTCATTCCCACATATTATGCAAAGCGAAACCATCTATTCGTTTTTACATTTAACTCCATGAAAGATCACAATTTAAAATAGATTTTAAATAAATTATGAAATATTAATTTGCAAACATGCATACAGCACAATCCCTACCAAAAATTTAAAGAAAAAATTTGTAGCCGTTTTTCAGACAATCTTGTTTTTGTTATTTTTTAAAAAGGCACATATTAGAAACAATGCTGCTCGAAAACTACTGGAAAAAAAATATAAGTGGCATTAATGAAAGAACTAACAATGGAAAACCAATTTCAATTGAGGGCAAAATCTATACCTTCAATTTTTTAATGTAGGAAGTCGGCAAAATAAAAAATATATATATA